TGTCTTCCTATTTATGATAAATGTATGTTGACCTAAAGCGTGAAGATGAAACCTCAGACTTCCGGGCAAAAATATCAGCCAACATAAAGTTCCCTCCACCCCAAAATCTCTTTCTTCCCTTGCTTTGGCCTTAGGCCCAGTGTTGTCATTCTGGTTAGCAAGGCAGTTGTATCCCTTTTTGTTCTCCAGCCTCTCGTCTGTCCACTCTTTGAGCAGTTATCTCCTTCTGCATAACCACCCCTGCCCATCGTCACGGGCTCCTTATGCTTTAATAATTATAAGTGTAGCTGACATTAATTGAGGGTTTATTGTGAGTCAGATCTGAGCTAAGGGTTTCATACACACAGCCACCTTTAATACTTCCCCATAAAGAAGATGTGATTATTAAACGGAGAAGGAAGCAGAGAGTTTAAGTAACTTGTCAGTAAGTGACTGTTACGTGGTAGAGTTGAGACTGAAACTTAGAAATTTGCTTTCAGAGGCTGTTCTTATAACCCCTTGACTTTGCCTACGAACATGCAGAATGTTGGCTGGACCCTGCCACTCCCCTCCTTGTACTTGCAACCTCACTCTTAGCTTTCACTGCCGAAGTTACCACAGATTTCTCTCCAGCCACATCCTCTACCTCTTCACAGACCATGCACTCAGGCCCTTGTCTTCTGCCTTGTACCCCACACCCTATAAAAATTGATCTCTAAATGGTCAGTAATGTTCAAATCCAGCAATTTTTCCTTGTACAGTATGTCATTTTCTCAACTCTGTACCTATTTTCTTCTGGGCCAGATATGTTTCTAGTTTCTTCTGCATCCTTTCTGACCACCACATCTTTACCTCTTGGAAGATACTGCAAATTCTATGTCAATTTGGAGAAAAGTCCTGGTTCTATAACCAAGAAGGCTGGGACGCCAACAGGCCAGGGCAGAAGATGACTGATTAGTCTCCTGAGACTATAAGCTGTAGCTTAATTTTGGGTGCAGATGCAACCAAAAAATGTCAGAGTCCTGTAGCCAGAAGACATTTTGAAGGCTATTTTAAAATTACCTGAAGTAATTAGAGCCAGAATGTATGCATTCTGGAGTCATTCATTTTGACTGGCTTCCTAGCATCGTCAGCTATGAGCTGTGTGACTTTGCAAGGAAGGCAGCCTCCCTCAGTATCCTCTGCACAAAATGGCTCTAATAATACTACAGGGTTCTAGTTCAGGGTTAGCCTATCGGGCTGTTGTGAGGGTTAAATGAAATAAATGAGTGCTCAATAAAAGCTCATTATAATTTATTCATTCGCTTATTTGCTTAGCAAATACATATTAAATTCTGGCTTTGTGTCAAGCATATGCTGGCTGCTAGGGAGACTGTGTTCTCTAAGCACAGACACACCTGCTCTCATGGAGTTTACGGTCTAGCTGGGGAGAGAGCTGTTAATAACACTCATCTTCATTCATTTAGGTCAAGGGTACAGATAGGGAGTGGTGGGAGATGAAGTTGGAAAGACAGGATTTGTGAGATTTGAAGGGTCATGTATGCTAGCTTGGGGACAGCATCCCAATCTGGTTGGTCACCACTGAAGGTTTCCAGCAGGGAAGTGATACGAAGCTGCTGTTTTTGGAGGATGGGTTAGAACTGAATGAGTGAGACTACTAAGTATGGCCAATTATGGGCTTGTTCTTTAGCCATTAGTCTTTGGTGAGAATTATGAAGATCCGAGCTAGTACTTGAGCAGTGAAGTAAGTTGGACAGAAGGGTTCTGAGAGTTATTTGGAGATAGAATTATCATGGTACTTTCCCACATTCTCACTGGTTTCCTCTACACACAGACTTCCTCTGAGTTCCAGGACCTGTAGAGGCCAACAGAATGTATACCTCTTCCCTCAGTCCAAATGGACAGTCCCCACCCCTCGCCCCTTTCGCATCCCTAGCTTGCCAACTAGCATTTTTCTATAGGCTTTCCTGTCCCTCTCTTGTCAGTGCTTTCATGACACTGAGCTGCCCCCTAGTGGAGACTGATAATTTATAACATCATAGATTTTTTTTTCCCCCAGCATTTTTTACAATTCATGCAACAAATCACTTGTATGTTTAACTGAACCAGGCATATACTTTAATTTTCAAAAAAAGAAATTCTATGTTTAGGATACAAGAAGACTAGGACATATGGAAAGGTAAGATTAGATTGATATTTTAAGTAGTATCACCCAAATGGGATTGAGAAAGTACTCAGAAACATCAGGTGACTATGTAGGAAAACTATCCACCCTTCCCTTTTTCTGCATTAGCTAAGTCCCAGTAGAGATTTTGAGGAGCCCAAGAAGAGAGGGCTTTATTTTGTGTCCTATGGGAGAAGGACCCAGTATTGCCAAATCTTTCAATTTTTTAAAAAAAGTTGGAAAGCCAATTAGTTCATGAAATATTCTACTTTTTACAATGTTGTACAATAATTTAAAAATAAAAAATGAACTCTGTAGCCACTTGTTTTCAGGTTCTGCATGCTAGACCACCAGTTTCCAAATGGTAGTCCATAACTACTATTGATCATTGGCAAATTTTTGCTGGTTTATAATAAAAATTTTTTTTAAAAAGATTTTATTTATTTACTTTTAGAGAGAGGAGAAAAGAGGGAGAAAGAGAGGGGGAGAAACAGCAATGTGTGAGAGGTACGTCGATCAGGTGTCTGTCACATGTCCCCAGTGGGGGCCTGGCCTGCGACCCAGGCATGTGCCCTGCCTGGGAAGAATTGGCAACTCTTTGGCTCACAGGCTAGGGCTAAATCTACTGAGCCACACCAGTCAAGGCAAATTTTTCTTTTTAAAAAGGACAATGAGATACATTTTTCCATATGGCTAAATATATCTAATATAATGAACTGCTTTCCTCTCGTGATGATATTCTTATATATTTTGTTAAAATTGTCTTGGTTTGGATTTGTATTTGTCTTTTATTTAAAATATCTTTTATCTTATGAAATGATGCTATAACTTCTATTGTATTTAATTGACAAAATTAAGAGTTGGTGGCTTTACATTGTTTTATTATATTTAGTTTTGTTGTACTGGTTATTTAAACCTGAGAGTCTGGGCATCACATCACAATTATATGTTTAAATAACACTAACCCCAACCCTAGACCCTAGCAGTTGATGTGGAAAAATTGTTGGGGGGGAGAAATTCAAGGTCTAGAAGTGTGACCATCACAGAATGTAAGAACCCAAAGGAACTTCCGCTTCACTCCTTTATTTGGTAACTGAGGGCACAGACTCCTGGCAGGAACACACTCAGCCCTGGTCACCCAGGAGGTAGTAGCAGAACCGCACTACAGCCGGGTTTCCTGACAGCAGATCCACGGTCTTTCAACTGCCCCAGTCATGACAGTACCCGAGGCCCTGCTGGGCACGAGTGGTGATGACGCCGGGTACAGGGAAGACTTCAGGGTAACAGGAAGAGGGATTTATGTAACTGCGTTTTAACTGTGAGTTTGAACCCCTGTAACATGCTCATTTCATTCTGGGGCATAGAAGTTTGCCCCTTCATCTGCCATTGAGTTGACTTTTCTTTAGGATGTTTCTTTCATGAGTAAGTCTTGGGGTTTAAAAGTATCTTACTTTGAAAAGCTCACTTATTATAATATTTGGCTGTGTTAGAACATGAACTGATTAGCAAATGTGCCACATGACTCACTCACTGGTCTGTCTCACTGCTGCAGGAGCTTATGTACTCAAGTCTGTGTCCTTTAAAATTGTTTTCTTATTGTTGAGTCGTGTGTGTGTGTGTGTGTGTGTGTGTGTGTGTGTGTCTTATATCCCCAACCTGTGAACAAATTTCACATGGTTAATAGTAATGTAGCTCATACTTTCCTCCCCTACCAACTGTGGCTGGCATAGTGTACAGGTTTGACCTTGTTAACAAATTAGAGAATGACTTAATAAGCAATACTAATAACCTCCATAAATTGAGCACCTTGTACATACTAAGCATTATTCTAATTGCTTTTTTTTTACACAATTAAAATCAGTCCAAACATGTTTACTGTTTTGCCTCCCATGTGCCCCATGTTATATGCTGGGGAAAAGGTGGTGATTAAATCCTGTAGCCTCTGACCACATGGAGTTTATAGCCTGAACTTCAGTGCCTTCCCCTACTCACTGCTGCTTACCCCCTGACTCATGCTAGCCTGAAACACACAGTTATAAATAATTAAGAAAATAGTTACAGTTATGCTAGTTGTTGGGGTCAGGAAAGATGTAGAAAAGATGAAAATCAAGTTAATGACATGATAGGTAAACAAGCAGTTAGCCAGGTGAAGAGAGGAGAAAAGTGTTTTATTCAGAGGGAGCAGTACAGGCAGAGGCCCAGATGGAAGTAACCAAACGTGGGGTATGGAACAAAGGGGAGAAGTCCACAGGGAGAACAGAGGGAGGGAAGTGGCAAGATGGCATCTGCTTCGGTCTTGCTGCTAAACTCCCATCACGCTTTGCAAAGCTCTTTATAATGCTTTCAAAAAGACATCTAGTTGCAGTCGATTACATAATTTATTTATATATTATTTATCTTAAATAGATCTTTTCCCACTGTGCCAAGTTCCTGGAGTACAGGCGGCCATGTATCTTTATCCTATCACCTAGTGCTGCCCTGAACTCCTCCAATGTGCCTATTGTGTCATCTGTAAAATCTTGCTTTTCTGACAAGAATTATCTACCCATGAACACAATACATAATTTCTTCATGGAGTTGAATCGGAACTATTGCATCCATCTATTCACTCATTCATCCCTGTGATAAACATTTCTGCGTGCCAAGCAATTTAGGAAATCTTAAAAGATTTCTTAGGACTGAATGTTTTTTCCAGACTTAACACTAGGCATAATTTAAACCAAAAATCTCATCCACAAAGCAATATATTGCTCTTAGGAAACCCTTGAATTTTGTTACTGGATAATGATTTTTTTCTTCTTTTTGTGGTTTAATTATACTTACATTTAAAAATCTGCTTTTGTTTTTTCCTCCGCAGCCCATCTGCCAGGCAGCCTATCAGAATGACTTCGGCCAGGTGTGGCGGTGGGTGAGGGAGGACAGCCACTACATCAACGTCCAAGACGGCTTCAATGGAGACACCCCCCTGATCTGTGCCTGCCGGCAGGGCCACCTCAGAATCGTTTCCTTCCTTTTAAACAGAAATGCTGATGTGAACCTGAAAAACCAGGTAAGGCCAGGACACAGGAGTGGAGAAAGTAATTGACTGTGGTAATTCCCTTCTCCTAGTACCAACGGGAGCTCATGCTTGTAGCTCCTGGTACCAACAAGTCTTATTTTAGAGAGACAATGCATAATGAGGACATTTTACTAGGCTAAAAAGCAAAATAAAACATAGTTCAGTAAGCAGGCATATTTTATGGTGAAGTATGTCCTTGTACTTCTGAAAAGGAAGAGAATAGTTCACTCTTTCGATGGGATAGAACTTCCTTTCTTTGCCTTCTCCTTCCCATGCTTTTTCTCGGCCCCTCTCCCCCTTCTCTGCCAGCTCCTCATCACTGTTACAGAAGTGATGGGGAAAGATTTCCTGGGGAAAAGTATTGACCTGCTTGCTGGTGCTATTTCAGCACCAGGTTAGGTTTTTACCTTCTATGTCAATATACTGATCCTTAGGAGGTCCTTTTGTTTGCTTATAGAATGAAAGAATGCTAGTAAAAAATGTTGACAAAGATGAGTAAGCTCATGAACCAGAGGTTTCTTGAAGCCACGTAGAAAGGCATTGAGAATGCAGCATTAGCTGACGTTGGAGTCTTCAGTCAGGAGGAGCAGAATACGTGTCCGCTGCTGTGAAGGTCCTTTCAGAACCCCTTTGGTTAGCTTCCTGAGCCTGCATCCTAGTAAAGGCAACCTTTAAAGTACCCTGAGTAAACATAAAAAGTCGTTATTTGTAGTAATTATGAATGCCTTGTGTTCATTCATGAATATTCAGAGAAGAAAAACAGCCTGTAGGGCCCCACTTGCCCTTTCCAAGTTAGCTTAAAGACCAACCCACTTAGAGCAATAAGTGGTATTATCAGAAAAATAGACCAGTGCTGAACTTTCTTATTTGTGAGATATATATATGAAATATATATATAATTTTATTTTTTATTATTACTATTTTTTGCTTGATTGGATTTCAAAGCAAGTCATGCCTGTTCTAAATCTAACAGATCTACAGCTTAGAGTATGACATGATCTCCCAGCTGAAGAACCAGGTGTGTGGAATTGTAGTGAGAGGGGGTGGCAAAAACAGATGTTGCTGGGTCCACATCCTCTCACAAGAGACTTACTATTAGGAAGCTGAGGGAGGGAGATGCTTACCAACACAAGGACGGGGCTGAGGAGACACCCTTATCTCTGTTTTGCAGAGAACCTGATGCAGCTTCCTGGGATCCTCTCATGTTACAAATATCCTGGAAAAGACTTTTGCCTGGGTTGGGGCCAGGTCCCCAAATGGGGACGTGTGAGAAGTAATTGGTTAATATATCTCTCACACACTGATGTTTCTCTCTTCTTTCTCCCTGCCTTCCGCTTTTTCTAAAAAAAAATAAATGAAGTCTTTAAAAAATATAAAAAATATAGATATATATATAGATATATCTATATCTACAGATACAGATATATGGCTATACTTTGGTCTGTCAAATTGACCAGGCTTAAAAAAGAAAGCAAAGTGTTGATCAGGAAGGAAGTTTAAATCATTATCATTTTACTAGAGCACAATTTAGTAGCACAATATGAAAAACATTAAAACTTTTCATGCCTGGAATTATATTTTTAGAAACTTATGTTGAAGACAAATTTATTTAGAAAGGTTGACAAACCTTCAAGAGAATGTTCATGTAGTCTTATTTATAGAGATCAAAAGTTAAAAACTCAAATGTCCAACAGGTAAGGTTTAGCTAAATAAATCACAACAGTTCTGGTCAACAGAAAGACAAACATTCTTTACAGTTATAGGTGTATAAACATTAAATGGCATAGAAAATGCACATAATCTAAATGTTAATTAAAAAACATATATAATTTTGCAGATGCAGTGTGAACCTGCATTTTAAAATTTCAGTTAACTCTGGGCTGTTTGATTAACGGGTGATTTTAAACTCATTCTATTATTAACTTCTTGCCTAGTTTACAAAACTTCTACAGGGAACAAATATATCTTTATATTAGAAAAACGGAAAGACCCATTTAAGAACAGTGCCTCCCCCAAGGAGAAGTTAGGCTCCTTCTTTCCTCTGGCCCTCCCTCTCTCCTTGTCGGTTTGGCTGGCATTCCAGTCACAGTGGCTTTCTGCATTAGACTTATTTGTGCGTGTTTCTATCTCCCTGCATTGGTTTTGTGGCCCTGAGGCTTGACATTCCTCACAATCCCTAGAAAGTTAAGTTTATCACCTGATAAATATACATGTACTTGAATAATTAAATTGAGTTATTTCCATTCTTCGAACACTCTCTGTATGCATGCAGAAACAAAAAAATTGCCATGTGGTTAAGATTTCTTTAATGAACAAGCGACAAAATGAATAACTAGTTGTACACCACTGGTGATTAAGAGATAACTATAGATTTTTATATTGAATTTAGTCCTATGTTTATATCTTGATGTCTTGTTCCCCAAAACTAAAATGTGTGAGAATACTTCTTCTGATGATTTCTAAAATGTACATTCCACCTGTTACCTTTGTGCGGCCCTCCCCCAGTCTCTCCTCTAGACTGTACTCCGTTCAATATTCTAATCAGTGAAAACCTGGGGACATACAGGACATACTTCACAGGAAAACAGGTGGCATGTGCACCATAGAAATGAAAGGCATAAAGTAAATTTTTTGATAAGGTAGTCTTAAAATAGGAAATTTGAAATGAAATATTTTTTCATGGAGAATTCTTTTCTTAATTTTTAGAAAGAGAGAACCTGCTTGCATTATGCTGTGAAGAAAAAATTTACCTTCTTTGATTATCTCCTCATCGTCCTCTTAATGCCTGTTCTGCTTATTGGTTACTTCCTCATGGTGAGTACACTTGTGAGAGCAAAGGGCCAGTGTGCAGGAGCTCTGCGGCATGACTGCTTGAGGTGTGCTGGCCCAGTGAGACTTAAAGCACTGGTAAGAAAGTAAGTGCTTGGTTTGTATTCTGTGAATGACATTTCCAACAGACACACGATGCTGTGAGTGAAGTGAAACAAGAAGAAAAGTAGCCAAATAAATTAATCAATAGTAAAATCATCTGTGTGATGTTTATTTAGGAAAAGCAATTAATCTTGCTTTAAATCTTCTTAAGGAAGCACGAAAGTCCTAAATACTGAAAATAAAATTTCCCCTTTTATGTACTGTTTCTTTTCACACCTCTTCATAGGAAGAGTTTGTCTTTGGACATATTTTTCTGAGTTTTGATAGTTAAGGACCCACCCTGGTTGTCAGTTAAAAAACAGAGCCCAGGAAATTCACAGCCAGTAGCTGACCAACACAAAGATCTTTATACAGGATTTGTGAAGCCCACCTTTTCCTCTGATGAACGTAGTCATGCTTGAATGAGTCTTTGGCATGAAGTAATGTTGTTGAGAAAATAAAGATTTAGTTGGTATAGGAATGCAGTTCTGTTATAAGAACATGAAACTTGAGTTTTGTTGTTGTTTTTCATATAAAGTGACAGCTTTGCAGTGATTCATTCACAGTTTTCCATACGGTTCTCATGTGGCCAGCTCCTCCTTTGAAAGATGACTCAATGAATGTGTAATTTACTCCAGTTCAATGACCAATCTCCCTTCTCTTTGTAGTTAATGAACTGTGGGTGTTAGTTATTCCTGTTAACATAAGCTCCAGAAGAAGTCTATGAGCCAGAAATGATACCTCCTCTGTTATTTAAATTTTACAGAATTTGAGGAGCTGCAATTAAATATGATAGCATTGATTTTGATGCTTAGATTCATGGGAGAGAGAAAACTATAATTCACTGATGAACATATAATCTGCTTATATCCTTGAAAAGTTCTTGAAAAAGTAGTAGTGCATAACATTTAAATATTTGTAGTTTTGGGGCTGGGGGGGATCTGTTGTTCATTTCCAAACATTTTTTGAGATTATGAAGAAAACATCTATGATTAGCAAGGTTCATTCAGAATTTGTTGGTGCACAATCCAGCTTTCTAAGGCAGTCCAATGTTGAAAAACTGGAGGCCTGGACATAACTACTAATTGTAATCAATAGCCTGGCTCTGATTGCACGTGTACCCCGTTTATTAATGGAGCCTGAAATGCTTAATTTGTAACGTATAAAGATTGGATGACATGAGAAGAAATTACAAATAAAGAGACCAGAAAGGACTGTGTTACTTCAGAGGAGGGTAGGAGAAAGTCAGTTCAGATGCTGACACAAGAGGAAAGCACAGAGAGAGAGGGCCACTGGGTGGAGCTTCCTAGATAATAAAGGTGGACATGCCCTTCTGAGCAGGAAGGAGTGTGCTCCCTCAAGCAAAGAGTTGTTGTGGAGGGGGATGAGGCAGGGGGTAGGATCAATATGTCCTGTGCTCTGAATCTCATAGGACTAGGCAGGAAAAGTGGATTTCTGAGGAGCCTAGTTAGTTTCATCCTTTTGTTCAGCCAGTCAACACAGATTTATTATGGACCCACTATGTTTTGGCACTGTGCTGGGTGTTAGGGATAAATGGTGAACCCAACAGATGTAGTCCTTGTCCTCCTGAGAGTTACAAGGGAGTGAAAAATGAGCCATTAATCAAATAAAGGCAGGAACACGTGTAAAATTACCATGAAGCGGTGGTACAGAGAGGTGATCAATGTTATGAGTGAAGTGATAATTAAAGAGAGGGATTTTGCATGGCCAGCTAGGCTTGGAAAAGCTTCCTGGAGGAAGAGGGACTTGGGCTGAGATAGTAAAAATGATTTTTATTATTATGTCATTTTTTTATTACAGAGATATTTAAGGTTACTTTACAAGGTAAAGAGAGGAGGGAGAAGGCTAGACAAAAGGAATAGAATATTCAGTGCAATTATTCTACAGCACTAGGGAGCCTGGGATGTAAAAGACTAACTAAAGGTCTGCGTGGCTAGGGCAAGGCGAGCCAGCAGGTGTGGAGTAAGCCGGCCAGGGACATAAGTGGAGGCCGAAACATGTGCACCCTACCAGGCCAGGCTGAAGCGTTCGCTTTGCCCTCAGAGCAGTGGGACATCATTGGAGAGTTTAGAGCCAGGAAGACAGTCACTGGGCCCTGTTCTCAGTGGGATGTGGTAGGTCTGGAGTGGGGGCCCAGAATTTGCATTTCTAAGTACCCAGGTTCCGGTGCTAGTCCAGGTCCACACTCCGAGAACCCTGGCTTCACCTAATTGATCTTAGAAGGGGGTGTAGAGTGGCGGGGAGGGGGGGATTTTTAAAAAGATCTTGGACACATAAGGGTATTGGGATTAAAGTGAAATTTATTGATTGGAATAGTTTAGACATAAGATAAAGAAAATGTTTGTAAATAAACCTTTTGTATGGCTATGTGTAATAGGTGTCAAAGACAAAGCAGAATGAGACCCTTGTCCGAATGCTGCTCGATGCTGGTGTGGATGTTAATGCTGCAGACCGTGTAAGTGTGTATTTTTAGTCATTTTGAAATAATATTCAAAATGGTATTTGTAGGTTGTGTACTTGTCACCTGTAAAGTTGCTTGTTTTGTTTTCCTAGACACTTTTGCATTTGTTTTTCCTTTTTCTTTTCACTGCCAGTTATGTGATCTTGAGGTTATGTATATATGGCCACTAAACTTGTGGGAATACAATCCTTATTGATTATAGAACATTTAAAAAACTCTGCTCCACCATGGGTGAGAAGTTAAGGAAGACGAAGGCTTGGATAACCAAACTCATCCTTAGTAGTTAAGAACCTGGAGTCAGAAAGCCTACGATGTGTAAACCTAGGCTTGCCATTTTTTTACCTATGTGCGTTGTGGCAAGTTATAAACTTTTCCCGCTTCCGGTTTTCTCATCTGTAAAATGAGGATATCAGTAACTTACAGGGCTGATTCGTGTAAAGCACTTAGCAGAGAGCCTGACACATGGTAATTGCTCAGGGAGCATTAGCAGCTGCTACTGCAGCCAAGATCCCAGCCAGCAAAGAGGGCCCCCAAGAGCAAACTAAAGCAAGGTAAGGACAAGGGTCAAGGGAAAATCCAAATGATGGTAAGAGCCGTGATGACAACGGGGACAGCCTCAGCTAACTTCTTCTTGTTTATAAACATAAGGTTTTGCTCTCACCTTTTACAACTGTGCCTCGAACGCATCTTCCCTCTTTCATGGTCCTAAATGGGTCAAAAATGTATTTGTAAGGAGCTTTATTTGCTTATTTGATTGAATGAAATTTCGGTTGCCTAGTTCTTTACTGAAAAAATAGGCCAGTCATAATTTGATTAAAAAATATAATACTCTATTTTAAATCCTTAATTTATGTTGTATGCATCTGTGTGTATATTACCATTCTGTATTCTGTGATGGAGAAAATGTGTCTATCCTGTTTCTATTAATTATTTACATCATTTTAGTTTGGGTTCTTTTGGTGTCACATGTTTAAATCGATGTAGTTCTCATTTTCTCTCTATGTGTGTATTTATGTGTGTGAGAGAGAGCGGAGGTGGGGAGAGTGAGTTTATGAAATGCGTGCTTTTTCTTATTCCAAATATAATTTTTGGATTAATTTGGACAGAGTACTACTGTGAATCATCATTTTCTTAGATAACTTTGAAATGTATTAAGATGTCATTAGAAATTAAGTAAAAGATAATTAAAATGTTCAAAATTTTGCTTGTGAACAAAATTTCTCTGGGATATATTTTTAGTTATCTATGTCTATCTCAGTCTCTAGATAAAGAGTTACATTCCTATGCACACTCATACACAGATGTGCACATAGGCACAGATTTTTACCACGTAGTTCAAAAACTACTTATATATCAAGATTCATTTTCCAACTCCAAGTAATGCAGTGTATTATATTTTTTAGATTCTTTATTTCAGATGGAAAAATTCAGAGCCAGATTTTCCATTCATCATGCCATCACTTAATAAAGAAAAGAGATTACAGCATTATTCCCTAGGATTTTAGAGGAGTTTCTAGGGAAAAAGATCCAGAGTTAATTCTGTTAATCTTGATAGTCAAGGATATTATTTCTTCACTTACTAAAACCATGGCTGTTTGGCTTTGAAAGGCAAAATTTTTAGCACAAATGCCCCGGCTATAAATTTCTTTTGACCTGTAGTTAGTGTTTTAAATTAGTACCAACAGAGTAGATCCACTACTTCATAATACATAATATAAACTGTAGTAAACCAAGAATGGAGGACTTCTATATATATCGAAATGCACTGGTCTTGCAAGTGTGCTGTAGTACTATGAGCACCAGCGAGCGACCTTCTTCAGACTGTGGGAGTTTTGATCAAGAATCATAGAGGATGGTATCTGCAAAATCACCCATGCGGAGACCCTAAGGGAAAAGATGGTAATGTGATCAAAGCACTGACTGGCCAGCCATACAGAATTCTACAAAAAAGGCCTTGGGATAATTCAGCATCAGCTTTTGGAAGAGAAAATGAGAAATGAAGATATTAACAACTTACAGAACATTAGTAATATACATAGTGAGACAGAAAAGACTTTAAGAACAGAAAAACGTAGTCCCAGATGGCTGGGACTGTTTGGCTTAGTTGTACCCTACAAAATGTGAGGAGCGCTTGCTAAAGAAGCCACGTGCTGCGGTCTGTAGAGTGTGATGGCTCAGCTATAACGATGGTCTGTTGTGTTTCAGTATGGCTGCACTGCCTTACATTATGCCTGCGAAATGAAAAACCAGAACCTTATCCCTCTTCTCCTTAAAGCCCATGCCGACCCCACAAAAAGAAACAAGGTAAGACTGTGGACCATGGTTTGTTGTATCTCCAGCAGCCTGATCTTCTAACTTTGGACTTGTTGCGCGTGGGTCACCGGCCAGCAGTGACCACGGAATTCTGTGGATGGCTCGACAATAAACACGCGAGAAAAAACAACATGCACAGAGACAGACTAGTTTCTGTGGGGAAGTAGGGATGAAATGGCCACCCCCCCTAGTGGGGAGCGCGCTGATTTACCGTCCGTACCTGCTTTTATTAGGCTCATGCTGCATAATAATTCAGGTAAAGTACAGTACTCATTCGGGGGAAGTAAGGGACTATAGAAAACAAAGAACTCTGCCGGTCTATTGAGTTGGGGGTCAAAGAGCTGTAAGACTGAGGAACAAAATAACTTCCTTCTAAGACCCTTCTCATTCAACTGAGAGCATTCTAAACAAAGAAGGTTTCACAGTAATTTACATGTTCTTTCTTAGGCCTGATCACCCCGGGAAATCCGCACTTCTCAGTACCGAGCTGTACCACCCTGTCATTGTTTCAGGCTTAGGTGGAGCAAGGGAACTAAGGCAACCAAGAGATAAGGAGATTTTCTTCCAGACGCTGAGAACTCAGGCTATGTCAAAGCCGAGGAGCGAGGGTCCATCACCCCCCTTTTGCTGCAGCCCCCCAAGTCCTTCTTTTGGGGGGGCCTCCCAAAAGTGATCGTGCCTGGCTTAGGTCGTTCCCCCCAGTGGGGAATCTTACTCGTCTTTGGCTAACCGACCAAGCTTTTTGGGGTTCAGTCATAAATAAAGCAGCAGAAGCAGCATTCCTGCCAGGGAGATAAGCTTTTATCTCCTTGCTGGCTTACGGTTCCAAGGGCGTTCCCTTAGCCTTAGCTAGGCGGGGGTTTCAGCCTCTGATACCAGTCAGGGCGGTTCCCAACATGGACTTGTGTTGAATTAAATTACCATTGAGTGTGATGTTAACAGCAAAATTAATCATCCCCATTAAATATCGTATTTTGCCATGTATAATGTGCACCCATGTTTTTGGCCCAAACTTTCAGGAAAAAAATCTTTTGTTTGAATTTTTAATTCAATTATTTACTTATATTTAGATACTTGATTTTTTTGCATTATAAAAGCATTTTAGCATTTATTTTTGAACATATGGATATCGTTATTGCTTTCTGGAGTTACACTTTTAATGCATGAGCATAAATTAAATAATTAAAATCATTTATATAGATATTGAATTAGTATTGCCCATGTATAATGCACATCCTTATTTTTCCCTAAAAAATTTGGGCAACAGAGTGCTCATTATATATGGCAAGATATGATAATTAAGGAATCCTATTACTTTTAAAACAATAACATTTAAAGCCTTTGCCAAGCCTGAGTGACAGTCAACCAGCCTAAACTGATAACTGGACTCTTTGTACTGGCATTTGATTCTACTAGAGATAAATAACAATATATTTTTTTCTTTTGGTCAGGATGGTGAGAGTTCCCTGGATATTGCACGAAGATTAAAATTTTCTCAGATTGAATTAATGCTAAGAAAAGCTTCATAATGCCTGTGGCCTCAGATGGAGAAGTAGAAAAAGTTAAAGGACTAGATTCTGTCTGCATCTTGGACTATTGGTCTGTGTGTGGGCCACCCAATCTGGGTACTGCCATCTTATGGGGTCAGTGATGGTTGCCAAGGATGATGTTTTTGAAGACATTTGTAGTCATGTCCTCGCTCAATGGACTTCACCATGGCCCTAAATCTAGAGGACATACTAAAGCTGTTGAAATTTCTACTTGTCAAAAAGGTGATGCTTCGAATTTAGTCTCTCCTGAAGAAGAGGATCAGTTATCTCAGACAGTCATCTCCTCTTTGCTGTGAGCTCTTAGAAGAGGCTGTCCCATCTATATCACACCCCAGGAGACACTCTTTCTCTCAGGCCCCTGTAAGTGGTAAGATGAAGAGTGCTAGTATGTACATTTGTATAGAATGGTATGTCTATGTGTGTGGTTTGTGATTCACATGTAAATGTTCCTTTGGCAAAACAACTGTGACCAAAACATTTGTCAGTTGTCAGTGGTGGCAGTTTTACACATAACTGTAATTGGCAAATGCTAAACCCAAGGCTTTTCTTTTTTTCCTGGAGAATCACTTCACCAGCACATTGCTAAACAATTTGCTGTCAGTTTACACACACACACACAAAAGCCATCTTGATTTTGAGTAAGATTATGTAACTATCAATATGTTTGTTCAAAAATATCTCTTACTCTCTTGTGAATGCAAGGCAGCTATTGAACTTGTGAATTCTGTTTATTTTATTGATAAAATTTTAAATATTACTGTAGTTTGGGGGAGGGGTGGGGGAAAGGCAGAAAACTGTACTTGAACAACAATAAAAAATAATAATAAAAGAAAACCTAAAAAATAAATAAGTAAATATTACTATAGTTTATTTAGATAAAGTATTCCTACATAAGAAGGAGGTATATGATGAGATAGTATCTGAGTTATACTTCTAGATGAAAGAGAGAATATCAAAGTATTTGTCCAATTCCTTTGTCAGTGAAACAGTGAAAAAGTATATTTTTAAAATGATTAAATTTGCTGTGGCTGGTATAGCTCAGTGGATTGAGTACCAGACTGTGAACCAAAGGGTCGCTGGTTCAATTCCCAGCCAAGGCACATGCCTGGGTTGCTGGCCGTGTCCCCAGTAGGGAGCACATGAGAGGCAACCATGCACTGATGCTTCTTTCCCTCTTTTTCTCTCTCCCCTCCCCTCTCTCTAAAAATAAATAAATAAAATCTCTTTTAAAATTCTTAAAAATGATTAAATTTATAAATAATGAAGTGTGAATTTTTTATTTAAAAAAATTTTGAATTATATTCTATTAATTATGCCATTACAGTTGTACCAATTTTTCCCCCTTTGGCCCCCTCCACCCAGCACCCCTCACTCCCTCAGGCAATCCCCACACCACTGTTTACGTCTCTGGGTCATGAGTATGTTCTTTAACTACTTCATTTCCTATACTGTACTTTACATCCCCAAGCATATTCTGTAAGTACCTATTTGTATTTCTTAGTCTCCTCACTGCTTCACCCACTACTCCACACCCCCTCCCATCTGGCAACCATCAATATGCTCTCTGTATCCATGATTCTGTCTCTGTTTTTCTCGTTCGCTTAGTTTGTTTTTTTAGATTCAATTGTTGATAAATATTTATTTATTGCCATTTTATTGTTTGTAGTTTTGATTTTCTTTTTTAAAATAAGTTCCTTTAATATTTTATATAATAATGGTTTGGTGTAATGAACTCCTTTAGTTTTTTCTTATCTGGGAAGCTCTTCATCTGCCCTTCAGTTCTCAACGATATCTTTGCTGAGTAGAGCAATCTTGGCTATAGGTCTCTGCTTCATGACTTTGAGTATTTCTTGCGAATGAAATAGTTCTAGCCTGCAAAGTTTCTTTTGAGTAATCAGATGACAGTCTTATAGGAGTTCCCCTGTAGGTAACTAACTTATTTTCTCTTGTTACTTTTAAGATTCTCTCTTTACCTTTAACCTTTAGCATTTTAATTATAATGTGTCTTGGAGTGGGACTCTGCATCCATCTTACTTGGGACTCTCTGTGCTTCCTGGACTTGCATGTCTGTTTCCTTCACCAAATTAGGGAAGTTTTATTTCATTATTTCTTCGAATAGATTTCCAATTCCTTGCTCTTCCTCTTCTCCTTCTGGCACCCCTATGATACAAATGTTGGGAAGCTTGAAGTTGTCCCAGAGGCTGCTTATACTATCCTCATTTTTTTAATTCTTTTTTTCTCCTTATTCTAATTGGTTATTTTTTCCTCCCTTATGTTCCAAATCTTTGATATGATTTTTGGCTTCACCCATTCTACTGTTGTTTCCCTGTAAATTGTTCTTTAATTGTTGTATCTTTCATTTGTGACTGGATCTTTTTTATGCTGCTGAGGTCCTCACTAAGTTCCTTGAGCATCCTTATAATCAGTGTTTGAACTCTGCATCTGATAGATTGCTTATCTCCATTTTGTTCTGTTCTTTTTCTGGAGTTTTGATCTGTTCTTTCATTTGGGCCATGTTTCTTTGTCTCCTCATTTCGTCAGCCTCCCTGTGTTTATTTCTATGTATTAGGTAGAGCTGCTAATACTCCCTGTCTTGGTAGCATGGCCTATGTAGTAGGTGTCCTGTAGGGTTCGGGGTACAACCTCTCCTATCACCCAACCTGGATGAGTACACCCTTCTCTTGTAGTTGAGCCTTAATTACTGTTGGCAGGTCAATTTACAGGCTAGTCACCCGCAAGGACTGCCTGTGGCCACTGACCACCAACCTCTACCCTCTCTGGAGGACCATCTATGCAGGGGCAGGGTGGTGGTGCTCCAAAATGGTTTGTAGCTATCCTCTGGATATGCAAGCTCTAGTATTTTCTGGGTGCAGGCCAAGGTCAGTTCCCACCTGTATTTTGGCCTGAACCACCCTGCCTGAGCAATAAAGCAATCTGAGATGGCTACTACTTATACTGGTCTTAGAGATTTCCATGTTAAGCCAAGCTTTGAATCTAGACTGGTTGCTGCTAGTGCTGTGCCTGGGGCCACTTAGCAAGAGGTATGGGGGCTGAGAAGTTCACTGAGGTTGGCTATTGTTTATTTGAGTGAATTTAGGAACTTGTGAGGCATGGGCCAAGACGAGCCATTAATATGGAAAAGCAGCTTGGGTGGACCCATAAATTGGGTGGGACAGAGTCTCTGGGAATCTCTAGGCAAACACTGGAGGCAAACAGTGTTTGCCAAGTTTACAGAGTCTCTGATATGGCACCAGCCTGCTGGCTCTGTGGCTCTGTTGGAGAAGAGATCAAAAAAGGGACAATGGCCTCTGCCCAACTTTCTGTCTGGGAGAAAGCTATCTTCCAGCTTTTGCTTTTATGCCAGACACTTCAGCTCCTCCCTTTGTGCCACTGGTGCCTTTCAAACTGTTACTGTGGAGCTGGAGCTCAGAGGGGGTGAGTCTGAGTAAGTCAATGTGTGGGTTAAGAGGAATCACTTGGGACTATTGCAGTTTTTTCCACTAACTCAACCCCCACTCCTTTTTATAGCCAGAAGTTTTGGGGAATTTTCTTCATGGCACTGGAACCCTGGGCTGGGGGGCCTGGTGTGGGGCTCAGAGTCCTTTGTCCTGGGATATTCCTCACGAATTTTTATCCACCACACGTGGCTGTGGGACCTTCCTGTTCTGTGTCTCCATCCCTCCTACCAGTGTGGTTGGATATGGTTTCTTTAATTCCATGGTTGTCAGACAGTCATTCAACTCATTTTATGATGGTTCTGAGTTATGGTTGTTTCATATTCTAGTTGTAATTTTGATGTGGTTACTTGAGAGGTCAGCCATGTTTACCTATGCTGCCATCTTGACTGGAAGTCGAATCATAAATATCTTTAGACATAAACTAAGCCACAATATGTGTGGTAACCAATATGTCTAAGAATAAAAGATTTGTCATCCTTGAACAGAACAAAGTTCTAATCAAAATCAAATCTAGGAATGTTGGGCCTTAAAGTACTTATTTTGTGATAGGAGTAGTAGGGTATAGATATAGATTCTGAAGCCTTTATATGTCTCTTAATAAATTACGTAAGATCCAGTCAGATTGTACTGAGTGACCAGGTGTCTCTGGGAGATAAAAAAAAAGGTAACTTCACACATAAATATACCTTTGACACACACCATTAAAACATCAGTTCAGAAATTTTCAAAATTGTGCTAGTGGTTCCAGAGCTTTGCATAGTTGTACTATTACTCATGTAATTATATCTGTCATCTTTGAAACTGTGTGAAAAGTGAGAAAATAACCAGATTTGAGAATGAGCTGAGGAATTTTCCAACAGTAACTTTGTCAAGATCAAAGGATAAAATATATGACTGTTTTATTTTGCTCATGACATTACAAAATTTTCTTTCTAGCTTTTAATTTTTGGAGGCAGGAAGCTGTGTCAGACATTTCTAGACAATAAGTCTCCAAGCCATTCTCAAACAAGCTTGGACTAGTATCTAGGTACTGAAACACACATACATGCTTTATGCAATGCAATGCACTTATTGAAAAACTCATAAAAATTCCACAAAAGTATCTCCTCTAAGACTCAGCTGTAAAACCTGGCCCTTTTGAAGATACTTAAAATGTAATATTTTATCCATGATGTACAATGATTTTTTGTTTATTAATTAATTAATTAATTTGTTTGTTATTTATTATTTCTGAGGTAGTGCTGTTTCTGTGGCAATAAGGTGAAAATATCTAGTTTATTTGCGAAAGTCAACAACAGTCCAGAGATTCAAGACTCTTGTCTTGCCCTGGCTGGTATGGCTCAGCAGATTGAGTGCCGGCCTGTGACCTGAAAGGTCAGTGGTTCAATTCCTATTCAGGGCACATGCCTGGGTTCCTGGCCAGGACCCTAGTTGGGAGAGTACAAGAGGCAACCAAGCAATCAATGTATCTCTCACACATCCCTTTTTCCTTCTCTTTCTCCTTCCCTTTCCCTTTCTCTAAAAATAAATAAATAAAGTATTTAATAAAAAACTCTCTCTCATCCCAATTTTTCATTTTACTTTATTGTTCCAAAAATATGGCTTGTAGAAAAATAAATAACAAGTTTTAGGAAAGTTTTACCTGAATGACATAGAGAATGTCTACATGATTTGTAGCTCTCAGATAAACCCTACCCTTCAATATGGTAGAATATACAGGGTCTGGCACAAATAACACCCCTTTTTGTTATAAAATCGCTTATTATAAAATCATAAGCATGTAATTCTATAACATAACAATATCACACTCAAGCATACCATAAGACATTTTAGGTGAACTGTTCAAATTAAAACTATGAATTATTACACCTACATTATTACCCTACCAACCACACCCAAGCAGGCCTTACTTCTGCTGGACCCTGTATAAATAGCTCATGAAACTGATGTTTAGCCAATGAGTAGTTTAGCTAACTAGAAACAAAATTTAGTGTCAGTTTTAGTGCCAGGTGCAAGAAATCTGAAGGAATATGTAATAAATCTCCACCCTCCCTTCTCTACTTCCCTTCTATTGATATGATAGGTTTCCAGTTTTGGAAATCCTTAAATTCCTTTGTTCATGGACCCCGGCACCATCATCCACAAGGTTTTTCCTAAGACTTGTCAGCATTTGGTGCTTCACAGTCTGACCTCACACATTCCCTGGGAAAGGCTGGTCTCCTCCTGCTTCATCAGATGTATGATTTCGTTATACAGACGATGAGGTGCATCTAAGCCCCAGATGAAATCCACATGTGCCCATTCGGGAATGTTCTTGTGGTAGATGAGGTTGTTCACTTCGGAGATCAGTGTTTTCACATCATCTGGGTTTGAAAGCCAGTCCTGACCTCCAGTCCACATTGCTGTGGGGACCGTCATGTCTCTAACTTTGTATCTTATAGGAGTTGGCTAGAAAAGAAGAATATTGTTAACTGTAGATCACATCTGGACTTCCAAGCTCATAATTTACATTCCAAATAAACACTCTAAATATACCATGTGTTCTGATGAAAAATGCATGGGCATTGGAGCCAAACAGATGTGCATTTAGAGTTTCTGTTACAGCACTTACCTGAAGGTAAAATTACTTAACCCCACTGAACCTCAGTTTCTTCATCTGTGAAATGGGGGTATCTGTAATCATTGACTAGGTTAAGTGAAAAAATATGTAAACTGCCTAGCACTTTAAGTATTCATATCCAATTTTTTCCTAGTAATAAATATTTAACACATATATTAGCTTTAAAAGATAATTTCACAAACATTTTATGAGGACAGAGCTAGAAATATTTTACAGAGAAAGGCAAGAAAATGGGCCTCTACTGAGAAGGTCTTTGCTGTCAGTCTTTACAGAGATTTTCTATGATAACAGAAACCCTTGAACAAGCCCAGCTTGACCATCTCCAAAAACATGGGGAATTCAATGGTACTGGGACTCAGGAAGTTTGAATCAAGGGCAAGTATGAATTAGATCCCTGCTCTAGTCTGCTATCACCCAAAGAAGGGTGTCTAGGTTTCTTAACTCTTGAGAACATCTCTTATTCAAGCAGTGCTATGAAATCAGACTGGCTGACCGAGCCCTTGAAGTTAATCAGCACCCAGGTCTTTTCTACAGAAATGTTGAGGCCCACTTCTTATGTAGAAAATCCAGTCGAGCCGAGGTTGCAATCTAGGCAGTCCTTGTTTCACTTTGTGACTTTCTAAAAGTTATGAGTTATAGACTATGGTGTAATTTGAAATAAAAAAATATATTATTGGTCTTCATCCCCATTTTTGGAACAGAGCTCCTAAAACCTTTAGTTAAGGACCTTGAGATGAGACCATCATTGGTTAGGGTAGCCCTAAATCAAATGGTAAGTGTTTTTCAAAGGCAAGAGCAGAAGACAGAGAGAGGAGAATCATGTGAAGATGTAGGCAGACATAGAGAGATTAGAGTGATGCATCTACAAACCAAGAAACACCAAGGACAACAAGCAACTACTAGAAGCTAGGAGAGAGGCAAGGGACAGAATCTCAGAGGCTCCAAAAGGAAGCAACCCTGCCTAAACCTTGACTTTAGACTTCTGGCCTCCAGAACTGTGAAAGAATAACTGGGAGGGTGGTTTTAGTCACCACCCTCCCAGACCCCAAAGGCACCCTTGGAATTTTACTAAATAATGAGTGCCATAAAGGTGTTTTTTGTTATGTTAATGAGGTGGCTTGGAACCAGGTGGAGGTTCCCAGCTAGTGGAGTCAAGCATGTAATATCTCTGATTCTGTTTCTGTTCTACTTGTTTGCTTAGTTTGTTTTTTTAGATTCAGTTGATGATAGTTGTGCATTTTGTTAGCATTTAATGTTCATAGTTTTTTAAAAGATTTTATTTATTTATTTTTAGAGAGGGAAGGGAGGGAGAGAGAGAGAGAGAGAAACATCAATGTGCGGTTGCTGGGGGCCGTGGCCTGCAACCCAGGCATGTGTCCTGACTGGGAATCGAACCTGGGACACTTTGGTTCGCAGCCCGCACTCAATCCACTGAGTTATGCCAGCCAGGGCTTAATGTTTATAGTTTTGATCTTTTTCTTATATAGTGCTCTTTAACATTTCATATAATAAGGGCTTGGTGATGAACTCCTTTAGTTTTACCTTGTCTGGGAGGCACTTTATCTGCCCCTCCATTCTAAATGAGAGCTTTGCTAGCTAGAATAATCTAGGTTGTAGGTTCTTGCTTTTCATGACTATGGATACTTTTTGCCAGTCCCTTCTTGCCTGCAGTTTCCTTTGAGAAATTAGCTGATAGTTGTATGGGAATTCCTTTGTAAGTAACTGTCTCGTTTTCTCTTGCTGCTTTTAAGGTTCTCTTTTTATCTTTAACCTTTGGCATTTTAATTATGATGTGTTTTGGTGTGGTCTTTTTTGGGTCCAACTTGTTTGGGACTCTCCTTCCTGGACTTGTATGTCTATTTCCTTCACCAAATTAGAGAATTTTTATTTTGTTACTTTTTCATATAAGTTTTCAATTTCTTGCTCTTCCCCTTCTCCTTCTAAGATTTGGATGTTTGTATATTTGGAGATGTCCCAGAGGCTTCTTATTCTATCCTCATTTGTTTTGAATTCTTTTTTCTTTTTGCTGTTCTGATTGAATGCTTTTTCTTTCCTTTTTAGTTCCCTGTAGATTTTTTTTTTATTTCACTTAATGCAATCTTCATTTCTGCTTGGATCTTTTTTATGCTGTTGCCATACTCAATGAGTTCTTTGAGCATCCTGATAACCAGTGTTTTGAACTCTGAGTCTGATAGGTTGCATATCTCCATTTCATTTAGTTCTTTTCCTAGTGTTTTGTTCTATTCTTGCATTTGGGCCATATTTCATTGTCTCCTCAATTTGGCAGCCTCTCTCTGTATGTTTATATGTATTAGATAGAGCTGCTTTGACTCCCTGTCTTAGTAGCATGGCCTATTGTGGAAAAGCACACCTGTATGTTGTATGGGGTGAAGTCTTAGGTAATCGCAAGGGTAGAGCAACCTATTTTACTGCTTTGTGGCTCTGTGTGAGGGAGGGCTCAGAGAGGGGACAATGTCACTCTGGAGATTGCCTAGGAGAAAGCTTTCTCCAGCACTCATGCTGTTGCCAGTCATCTAACTCTCCCCCTTCTCCCCATATGCCACTTGTGCCCTTCCAGCTGTTGCCTTCGTACTGAATCCCAGAGGGGGTGGGTCTACATGAGTCCTAAGTCCATTGCAGGCCCTTTAAGAGCAGTCTCTTGAGAATCCCAGTTTCTTCTGCCACCCCAACCCCCATGCGTTTTTACTGCCAGAAGTTATGGGGAGTTATCTTCCTGGTCCTGGAACCCTGGGCTGGGTGGTCTGGTCTGGGGCTGGGATTGCTTGCTCCTGAGGTGTCCCTCCCAACACTTATCCACCACAAATGAATGTGGGATTGCCCATTCCACTGCCTCTCCACATCTCTCCGCACCTTGCCACACCTCTCTGCACCTCCTCCTCTCCTACCTGTCTGGATAAATGTGGCTTCTTTAAATCCTTGGTTGTTGGACTTCTGTACAGCTCAATTTTCTGAAGAGTCTGGGTGATATTTGTTTTGTAATGTAGTTGTAATTTTTGCTGTAGTTGTTCAAAAAGGTGAAGCATGTTTGGCTATGCCTCCATCCTGAGTGGAAGTCGCTTAGTTGTCTTTAACTTCATGCAAAATAATTTAGTGAGATTGTATTGTGACAGCTATCATATAAGCATGCATTTTAAGAAAAACATCAAAATTGGGGAATTTTTGTGCAGCCATTTTAATATTGAAAATGGAAGAAAGTACATAATATTTTTGGTATACTATGCTTTATGATTTCAAGGAAGGTGAAATGCAACTAAAATGCAAAAAGATTTGTGCAGTGTATGGAGAAAATGCTGGGATGGATTGACCATATCAGAAGTGGTGTGTGAAGTTTCTTGATACTATTTACATTTTGGCCAAATAATTCTTTGCTGTGGGACTGTCTTATGCATTGGAAGATGTTTAGCATCACCCTTGACCTCTACCCACTAGAAGCCAATAGGAGGAGATAGCCAACATACTTAAAATATTCAAATCAATAAAGTTATTGGTGAAAATGAAAAATGTGTCTTTTATTTTAAGGAAAAAACATCATGGATTTTTGGCCAACACAATATTTTAGGAAACAGCTAAGACAGATCTAAAAAAAATGGAGCAGATACCTTTGATGGAAAGTTTGCTATTCATGGGCACTACACAGTCTTTAATTTCCCAGCCTTTTCTATCTAGATTGATGTGCAGAAAGAGATGTTAAGGGTGCTATGAGACTATCAAAAGTTTACCTGTGTCTATTCAGCTCCCTCCAGATTTAAATGTGTATGGTCAATGTTTGTTTACATTCACAAATAAGCTCACTGATAGTCTGCAGTGAAGATTTTATGCTCAGAATAGTTTAATATCAACTTCTGATTCTGTACACTTATTTTTAACTTTATTCTATAACACTGACTATACAGTTTCCTAGGTAATGTGATAGAATTTTTAAAATATTTTTTACTTGCAAATTACAGAATCACTATAAATGTGACCAGGGAGAGCTCTTAAGAATAATCTAGTCCAATAATTTTTAGAGTTAAAAAATATTTAGGCCTAAGGATCAAAGTAGCCTATCCATGATCATGTGAGTTTATAGGCAGAGAGGCAAGACTAAAGCAGGAATCCTCCCTGGCCAATTAATGGTCTTTTTCTTTATGCAGCAAGTTTTAAAAATTACAGATAAGATTGAATTATAATGTGAAATGATTACCACAGTGAATTAGTTAACATCCATCACCACATATAATTGTAATTTTGTTTTGCATGTAATAAGAACTTTTAATATCTACTCTCAGGAACTTTCAGATATACAATATAGTGTTGTTAACTATAGTCACCATTCTGTACATTATATCTTATAACTTATTTATATTATAACTGAGGTTTGTACCTTTTGACCCCCTTCACCCATTTCCTACCTCCAACCCTTCACCCCTGTCTCTGACAACCACAAATTAATGCTTTTTGTATTGTACCACAAAGACAACCTCACCCCTGCCATCTTCACTGGTGTGTTTTTGTTTTTTGGTTCAAAAAGGATTCTTCTAGTGATAGCCACCACAGACCACACTCTTCCCTTCACTAAGCCTACCTTACCTTGCTCCTGAAAAGCCTAGTGCCTCCTTCGTGGCCTTTCAAAGAAGCTCTCCTACTCCATTGTAAAAGCAGCACGCCTCTTGCTAAGCTGTGACCTTACTCATTTGCAAATGAGTAATGTTGGGAGTCATGTTGGGAGCTGCCCTGCCTAGTTTCAGGAGCTGTAATGCCCCCATGGCTAAGGCTGAGTGAGTGACCTTCGGATCATAAGCCACTAAGGAGACAAAGCTTATCTCCCTGGCAGGAGTGCTGCTTCTGTTCCTTTTTCCATAACTGGCCCCCAATGTTTGATCAGTTAGCCAATGATGGGTAAGATTCCCCAAGGTGGGAAAGATCTAAGACAGGCATGATCATGTGGAGGCCCCAGGTGAAGGATTTGGGGGACTATGGAGAAAGGCGGTGATGGACCCTTGCCCCTTGGCTTTGATAAAGCCTGAGTCCTCATTCTGCCTGCGAGAAGTCTCCTAATTTCTTGGCTATCTTGCCTCCACTGCCTGACTTAAGCCTGAAACAATGACAGAGGGTGGTGCAGCCCTGTGCTGGAAAGGGCAAGTTTCCCGGGTGATCAGGCCTGAGAAAGAATACATAAACTCCTGTGAAACCTGCTTCACTAAGAATGCTCTCAATGAAACGATAAGGGTCCAAGCAGGAAATGGGTTTGTTTCCCAAAGTTTTGTAGCCCTTTAGCTAACAGACCCTGACTCTTGTAGGGTCTTGAATAAGCCCCTGTAGTTCTTTGTATGCTATCTATTGTTTGATCTTTACTGCCTGACAATGATTAATGAACTTTACCTGGATTCCTGTGCAAATTAAAAGCCAATAAAAACCAGTGAAGGCAAGGATCAGCACAGTCTCCTCTTGAGAGAGTTGCTAGGCCACTCCAAGGCACCCTCCCCTTGAGAGGGTAGCCGTGCTGTCCCCTTTCCTCCATAGGACTCGGTAGTCCACGTGAATTTTTCTTGTGTCTCATCCATAACGCCTCGGACACTGCGGTCCAGTGCATGCATCAGAGTCACACCTGATTATTTTCCACTCACTTTCTTGTATTTTATTCCCATTCATAAACTGCCATTATAACTTTTTTGTTGTACAATTTAAAAGGTTAATATTGATATTCTTACCTGATTGCCTTTCTCCAGATTTTTGGTCTCACTTCCCCAGTCAAATGCCCGGAGTTCCCCAGAATTTGCTGCCTAAAAGGAAACAATTCATATGGCATTCAAATGTATTGCTGGATTAGAGTGGGTGGAGGATGGAAGTGTGCTACCAAGTCTGCAGTTGTGGGGGAAGCAGAGAGCAAAGGTTGAGGCTGAACTTCCTGTCAGCATTAGGATAATCTTCAGGAAAGTACAAAGGCAAGAATAAGACCCATTTAGGGAGAAAAATGTATGTACTACAGAAATACTTGGTCACCATGTTATACAACTCCAGGAAGGGTATCCCCATCGGAGTCTACCTAGATGGGTATTCTGCACCACTCTGCAGGCTACAAAGGAAAAGTCCCCCCTGGTGACTGGGAGAAGGTGACCAACACTCAACCCAGTTCACAGTTGTAAAATCAAACTCTCTCTCTTTTACACACACACACACACACACACACACACAAATGTAACAATGACCTTATGAGATCAATTTCACTAGACTCTAAATTGCTAGAAAGACAGATAAAACCATATTTAGGACTTATAAACATCACTACTTCTTAAAACTCTCTGCTTGAGTTATAGTCCTCTCATTTTTTTAACAAAGTTGTATTTTTAATAGATGAAAATCTAAGGTTAGTTATGCTCTAGTTCTGTCCTTATTTCTATCTTTATTTCCACAATTAATCAGGACCACTCTACAGTATCATCTAGAATGAGCAGTAGTATTAGGTTCAGAGCTTCTTCATTTGTGAAAGAATAATTAGCATTCCCATTGCCCTTGATTCAGTTTGAATGTCTTACTTCAGCTCTGCCTTCTTTAGTTCATGTGACTTGTAATCAAGACTTTCCCTCCTGTGTAGCAGTTATAGTCTTTCCTTCCCGTGAAACCTCCTTGGGTAACTAGGTCTTGTCTTAGCATTTTGTAGCTATTTGACTGAGCTGCTGGAGGAGCTGAAAATAATATTCTCCTGCCTCACTTTGAAGTGGCTGGAGACAGAGAAAGGTCTCACTGGAACCACCTGAATTCACACTTTTAAGGTTAACTGAAGATGTCCTTGAGCCAATCCTTTTCTTCCATCTCCTGAAAAGTTTCCATGTTATAGATCACATTTCATCTTTTTTAAAAAAAGATTTTGTTTATTTATGTTTAGAGACAGAGGAAGGGGGGGAGAAAGAAAGAGAGGGAGAGAAACTTGATGTGTGAGAGATTCACTGATCAGTTGCTTCTCACAACCTTCCAACTGGGGACCTAGCCAGCAACCCAAGCATATGTCCTGATGGAGAATCGAACCAGCGACCTTTCGGTTTGCAGGCTGGCACTCAATCCACTGAGCCACAGCAGCCAGGGTGATCACATTTCATCTTGTCATAAATGTAAAATAAACCCCTGGCCTGTCAAGGACATTCTTCAACTATTTCAGACAAACTACACAAAGACACTTACTTAGGAAAAATTACAAATCAACAGTCTTACCTGGCTCCAGTGTAGGATATTTTGCACAGATGTTCCGGCAGGAGAATGAGCAACATACACATTTGCTCGGCTCTGTAACAAAGCATGGGTGGTTTGTGGGACATGGGAAAATTCACAAAATATGCACCTTGTCAAGATCAAATTTCCAGGTATCAGACTAAGAAACGGAAACATTAAATGATCAGCAGTGATCTAAAAACAGTAGTATACACATGCACATTAATAAAATCACCACTATATGTATTCTTGGGCCCCTATTATTTTTCATCTGAGGATACCTTCTCATTATATATCGGACCTCTTTTTTAAAAGAATCTTTACGACAGTAACTACAGGTGAAAATTCTAGAATTGGCCTGTATTCAAATCCTAGCTCTATCACTGAATTTTTAGGTGGATTTAGGAGTTATTTAATCCACTAAAATCTCAGGATACTAATCTCTGTAGTGGGGATATTGAGAATATCTGTCTCATAGGATTGTTATGGGGAATAATTTAGCCTGACACATAATAAATGCTTATCATAGGCATCTATTAATCTTATTATTTAAAAGAAGAAGGAAAAGAATCTATAGGAATTAAAGATGTGTTCTTCCAACTGCCAGGGCTATTGTGGCTAGTATCAGTGGGTCTTCCTTGGAGGATTGTCCCACGTGTAGAGTGCTGTCTTGCTCAGTGTATCAGCCAGTACTGGCATTATCTACATTGAACGACTAGTTAATGTGAGGTATAAAAACCCAGCTCTCTCACCCTCACTTGGGACAGCTCTGACGGGTCATCCCATCTTCACAAATCCCTGTAGGATCAACCCAGCTTCCCATTAAGGGCTGCACAGACTGCATCAGAGCTTCCCCACCCCACCATATACCCAATCTTGTTTCATTCCCTTCTCTAGGTGTTATCCCAAGAGCATAACCCTGAACCCCTCTGCCCATTAATCTCCATCTCTGAGTGTGCTTCCTGGGAAGCCACCCTGGGACACCAACCAACTGGTGGCTATGCCTAAGGCACAGGGAAACTCCCAGACACCCTATCGAAGGGCTTAAACTACAAACCAGAAGAACCCAAGTAGAAAGAAGAGGTGGATGATGCATCATTGATCTCTCTTTTGACTACTGGATTCTAATCACTTTTATTCATCTGCTAATTTGCTGTTTAAAGCTGTTTTCATTATTTCTTCCATCTATAACCTGTGAAGTTAATATCTAGCAATGCCCTTGCATTAACCTGACCTTACCCATGTTAAACCATTTCCCGCATATTAGTATAGTATGGAGAAAATCTAATTACTAAGATTACATTTCTCTAAGTGTTCATTGGCAATAACTCACCCTCAAGGAGTGAGACTAATAGCTTTGCTTTAAGAACTGAGAATTTGCTAGATTCCCACTTACCATGTTCATGTTTTGTGTGTTAAATCCTCCCAGAAGTAAAATGATATTGCTACAAATCTGATCAATAATCATCTGGCCACAAAGGTAAATATAAAACTGGCGGAGAAACCTGGTCTGGTACAGAAATTCTTTCCTACCAAACAATCCCTGTCAAGATATGAAACAAAATAGTAGTCATTACATTATAATCCAAAAGAAGTGGCTCTAGTAGGAAAGTGTAAACCTTTCCTTATTGTGCTGGATGACTCCTGTATGTAGACAAGACATTTTCTGAGGAGTCACATACCTTGATCATCATATCAGGCAGCAACAAAAATTTGGTGCCAGGGCTTTTCGCATGTTTAATAGTAGCTATGGGTGCTAAGGCAAAATACATTTTTACTTTCTCAGCCAGCTCTGGCATGGTGGAAAATGCAATAAAGCCTGCAAGAGAAGGAATATGTCAGTGTGGATATCGAATATCTTGGAACTCATAAAATGCTTATTTTACTTTTACCAAGCTATTTTAGTAATTGCTTGTGATTGTGTCTTCACTCTCCCAGGAAATTATAAGTACCCGGAGGGGGAAAAACAACGGCAGCAAAAACACCTTTGTGTGCCCTCTGACTTCTGGCTTATTGGATGTTCAGTAGTAGGTTCTCATCGAGTTACTGAATTAAACTATTGAGTCCAATAATATGGACTTTGAGAATATTTATATATCAAGAGGGAACCATATGCTAGACACTGTTGCTGGTTCTTCATTTAATTCTCAAATTTTTATGAGGTATTTTAATAAATCTCTACAGTGAAAAAAATGAGAAACTGCCTTGTTTACTGATAATGAGCATGTTCTATGACAGAATGGGTATAGCAGGATTTTGCCAGTTTTCTTTGACACCTGTTTTTTTCTGGAACCCAAACTGTGAGGTAAGTTAGTAGACAAGTGAACTGGATTCCAACTCTTATTTTCACCATAAACTTGGTATGGGATGCTAATTAAGTCAGTCTGTGCCTCAGTTTCTATACCAATAAAATAGAGCCAAATTCCCCCAAATGATCACTGTGCAGGGATACTCTCTGTGAAGCCTTTGGGAGAAAAAGGCTATTGTAGAAAGCCAGGGCGTGGTCATTGTATTTGAAATACTCTATGTCTACTTCAAAAGAGCTTGTACTCTCTCTGTCTCAGCTGATGCTTGCAGGTTGTAGGGAGGGAGGCTGAGCAGGGGGAAAAAACATCCCTTAGAATCGTGGGACTTCTGTCTAGTTCCCAGCAGGTAAGTGTTAAGAAAGACTGATTCCTTCCCTTCTTTTCTCTTCCCGTATTAGGTTTGCCAGCCATGTGCAAAGGCAATCAGAAGAGTGACCTGGTATTAGCACTTGCTCTCCCAACTGTACCATCAGTAGAACTGGGTTGAAAATACTCCAAAATACACAACTATAATCTAGCTTAATTCTGACGATATAGAACTCCCCTCAAATGTCAAAATCTGAGAACTCTAGATAACTTCTCCCATCAGTACTTTTCCTTATGCAAAGCAAGTTTGAGTTCTCCATATTAATAGCTGTGTGATTGACTAATAGAGTAATCTGATGCTCTTTTGCCCCCTCCTTCTTCTCAGAGTAACATTTAGCTTCATCACTACCATCTTTTTCTTTATGTCAAGTTGAACAATTTGAGTACAAAGAAAACATTTTTAAGACCTCTGGAAAATAGAGTTAGAGCAGGCGTAATACTTTAACTTTCTTTCTATGAAGTACATGATGAGACATAGCATCACTAGGATCAGTTAATGTTATTGAGAAAGCCAGAAAGGAAACTGTGGAAGTCAGTGTCTTTTCATTCACTAGGAATCACCAAGCAAAAATGAATGAACTGAACTTGGGCCCTGAGTTCCTGTGAGTGAGTGTTCACCTGTTTCCTTAGTCTCCCTTACCCTGTCCTTCACCTTCGGGTTTGGCTCAGGGTGAAGGTACAGAGCTCCTCTCATCCCTCTCCAGAGATAGAGAGCCTTCTCCTAAAGGCACGTACTGTGCCTCTCCTGGTCTTCCTTCATTCTAATCTAAGCCAAGTACATTTTTCCTGTTGACTCTGGTCTTATATAAAGCCAGGATAGCCAGCCTCTATGCCCATCTTCCCACATAGGTGATCTGCATTCTCTGGGATCATGAGTTAAGGTTTCTCACAAATTCATCAAAAACAAAAGGACATGAGCATGCAATCACAGACATTGGCATTAGAAGGGAAATAGAGATTTGAGTAAATTCCCCCACCTGTTCTGTTTATAGTGTGACACTGCTTAGTGTTTATTATTTGCCTATTGCATGCCAGACACTGAACTCATTCAATGTGGTTACTGAGTGCATACAGAGTGCCAGGAACTGCTTTCGCAGATGTTTTAGATAAAATACCTGCCTCTGCAGAGCTTATATAAATCATCATATTGAATAGTCCATCACCTCTAACACACCTAAGAGGGAACTATTATCCACATTTTGTAGATGAGGAAACTGAGGCCACAGGAGTAAAACAATTTGCTCAATGACATTTACCTAAGAGGTGGTAGAGCCCAGTATCTGAATACTTATCCTTCTGATTCCAAAGCCCTTGCTCTATCTATCATGCCAGAAGCCTCCCTCAATTCCATTTCCGTTTCCTGTAGCTCTTAGAGTCACTGAGGACAATAAGGTTAGATGAGTGAAGTGTGAGATGACTGACCCCAGGCATACTTGGTCACCATATGCTCACATTTCTTCTGCGAATACAAACCTGCTTTCCTTTGAACTTACCCATGGTGGTGCCCTGTGAATAGCCGACATAATAGATCTTTTCCTGGCCCGTTTTCTGCAAAATAAAGTTTATGACTGCAGGAAGGTCAAACCTAGCCATCTCATCATAACTACAAAGGGAAAAGACAAAGTTATATGAGAAGTTATAATCAGAAACAAACAAAAACAGCCCCCAGGGTTTACGAACAAACCCTTGAATTGTCAGCCCCAAATGCTTGTTACAGTGCCCCTCACAACACTGGGAATGGACTTGCTTCAAGCCCATGATACACAGGTGCCTCTGGAGTCCCAGGTTGTTACCGAACTGCTATTTCTGCAGATGTGATAGAGCAACAATCATCTTCAGTGAATATGCGCTGAGCACACAATCCACCTCCTAGCAGAGGCGTCCTGCTATTCTGTTAGCAGAACAGCACAGGGTCATGCAGGTTCATTTATATGAAAAATACTGAAGATGCCCTGAGGCCCTTCTCTAATGAACTAGATAAAGAGCAGGTTGAATGTCCAGAGGTAATTCAAATAAAAATATTAAAAACCTTTTGTAAGAGTGTGAGAGATGTGTTAGTTGAACTAATAGTCCCTAAGGCTTAATAGTTTCCTTATGTCTTTAATGTCTGATCTCATCTCCTCTTGGGGATACTGGTCCTTGTCATAACTCAAAGAAGAGTTAGTCCCAGAACATCTATCTATAAGAAAATGGACAGGACATACTTTTCTTTCGTACCAGTCTTAATCACCTGACACCGGCCACCATTCTCACCCTATTCACCACACCCAGTCTTTTACTTGGGGAACTCAATTTTCCCTACTACTTCCCCCAAAGAATCACTAGCCAACTGAGACAATCAAAGCATATCATATAGGATATTGATGAGACAACCAAAGTAAATTACCCACATACTAGAAGCCATAATTGTTCACCCATTTCTTCCAAAGACATCCATGTCCATCTCCACTCGCAAGATTTTCAAATACCTGAAAGCCCAGAACTCATCTTGGTCTACGGAGAGGGTCTTGTGTTTCCGAGACCAGGTGTTTCCCCGGCTGTTCCCCATCCACACGTCAAAACCAGCGTCTGCCAGAATGAAGCCCAGGCTGTTGTTGGGCAGGTTGGAAATCCAGTTGCTGGCGTCTCCAAGCAGGCCATGCTGCAGTAACACCACAGGCCTGGAGCCTGCAAAAAGCAGAATTTCATCTGTGGGAAGTGTTCTCTACCTTCCTCGGTATCTTTTAACATGCAAAGGCTGTCAAATTAGACAAACCTGTGTTCAACTGTTGATTCAGCTTCTTGCTAGCTTATCTCAGCCAGTTACTTAATCTTTGTTTCTGACTTCCTCATCAGAAAAATAGAACTTTTGTTATAACAATAAAATAGTGCACAAGGAGCAGATGGCACGATGCCTGGAACTAAAAAAGAATCAAAGTTCATCTTCCATTGTTGTGTTTGCATAGTTACTGTTAGTAGACTTGTCCAAGCACCTAAGAGGATATTAGAAATGCTCCAGGAGGTAGTGTAATATAATGATCAAGGTAATTATTACATTAATCATAACTATTCTATGTTAATAAGAGTAAAAATTATATATTTGCATTTTATATGTATAATAATATATAACTATATTATTGTAATGTATAATATATAATTATGTTATTATATAACATTATATAAAGTTATGTGTGTATATTAATGTTAAAATAGAAATAATTATATAAATACTATATAATTATTGATATAATATTAATTATACACACACAGAAATATGTATGCATATGTAAATATATTACATATCTATATGTTAAATAAAATATATATTACATAAAATAAAGAATATATGTCTATATCTACATTATATAAAATATAAATATATTATATATCATATACAATATATTATATAGCATAGTATCTTATATGATGTATATGATTACATATTACTTATAATGATTAATATTAAAATATTAATACATGTACATATGTACCTATGTCATATATGTCATGATGTAAATGGTTATGGGTGCTTCATGTCAGGAGAACCCACAAGCCAGCTTGAATCTCCCAATATTTAAATATGGGAAAATTTGAGCACCCAAATGAATAATGATAGTAATAAATCATATCCTATTAAATAGAGAATGTATGAGTGAATATTAATATCAATAAAGATGAACAAAAAAGAATTAGGGGGTAGTAAAAGCTTTTATTTATAACATAATGCCATTACAAAATCATGAATGAATGCTAAAATTAGTGGTTAAAGTTTGAAGGGATATAGGATATTTATATATCTTGAAAGTATCTCTTTACAAAATTTATTAATTACAATGGGAAAAATACTAACTTTATGGCAGAAAAACTTGGCAGAAACCATCTTAATGAAGTTGTCAAAGCTAATATCTCTTAACTTACACCACTCACAAAAATTAACTCAAAATGAATTAAAGACTGAAATGTAAGACCTAAGACCTAGAATAAAACATAGGGATAAAGCTCTTTGACATTGGTAAGCACAGGCAACAAAAGCAAAAATAAACAGTTTCCATTTCATCAAACTAAAAAGCTTCTACATGGTAAATGAAACAATCAACAAAGTGAAAAGGCAAATTATGAAACAGAAGAAAATGTTTTCAAACCATATATTGGTAAGGGGTTAATATCCAAAATACATAAAAATCTTACATAACTGAATAGCAAGAAAATAAACAACTGAATTTAAAAATGGGCAAAGGTTCTCAATGGACATTTTACCAAAGACATACAAATGGCCAACTGGTGCAAGAAAAGGTGCTCAACATCACTATTTATCAGGGAAATGCAAATCAAAACCACAGTGAGGTATCACCTCCCACTTGGCTTTTATCACAAAGAAGGGCTAACCAGTGTTGGTGAGCATGTGGAAAAAAGGGAACTTTTGTACATTATGAGTGGGAAAGTAAGTTAGTGCATCCATTACGGAAAACAATATGGAGGCTCCTCAAAAAAAAAAAAAAAGAAAAGAAAGAAAATGAAACTACTACATGATCCAGCAATCCATTTCTGGGTATAATTCAAGGCAAACGACATCACTATTTTGAAAAGGTATCTACACTCTCACATTCATTGTAGCACTATTTACAATAGCGAAGATATTAAAACAGCTTAAGTGTCTGTCAAATGATGACTGTGTTATGGTAAAATGAGCGGCCAGAAGAAAAATTAAAGCAGGGCCCTCACCATTGCAATCTAACAAAGAACTTAACACAGGAGGACAAAGCAAAAGAAGACATGTCTCAGCCAGTAGCCCTGACCCGGTTCCATAAGACTGCCAGGCATTCTGAGCAACATGAACAAAACTAGGGTAGTGCAGGTGGGAGGAGCTGTTGAAAGTCTGTGTGTGTGTCATCTCCACTAGCTGGGAAAAGGAAAACCTTGAGACGGTGTATTCATTCCAAGGCCTGGACGGGGAAAAAGGTGGGTCTACCATGCCCAGAGAAAAAGCCCGTATAACAATTTTGATTACTGTCTGCCTCCTGTCACATATGCAAAATGAACAAATGGAGTCTGGAACAAGGTAAGGATTCCAGCTAGCATACCCTACACATAATGACATTTGGGTAGTGACATCGTTCTGGGAAAGCTGGCACCACATTTACCTGTCAATCAATATGTAACTCCCTCACCCCCATCCCACCAACTGTGTAAGTCCTCAGAACAAAGGACTCACTCTCTTTTTGGATACCCAGCTTCAAGCCACTTGGTCCCTGGCCACCCGGGTGCTGGCCATCTGGCCTCTGGCCACCCAACCTTTTGCTTTCCTATTAGAAGTTAGCATTAATAAACTTTGCTTGCATGCTAGCAGGCTCATGATCTGTAGTTCTTTACTGCATTGGCTAGAAGAACCAAGTTTCTGGGAGTTTCTCCTACAACAAATGGATAAGAAGATATGGATAAAGAAGATGTGATATATATGTATATACACACATATACACACATACACATATACACATATATACACACACACATATATACATAAATACACACACACACACAATAAAGCCACAAGAAAAAAGGGAATTCTACCATTTGCAACTACATGGACAAACCTGGATGGAGGTCATTATGCTAAATGAAATAAGTCAGACAGAGAAAGAGAAACACTGTGTGATACCACTTGTATGTGGAATAAAGAAAAAGAAGTTGAATTCATAGAAATAGCAAGTAGAAGAGTGGTTACCAGGGAATGATGGGTGGAGGCAATGAGGGGATGCTGGTCAAAGGGTACGAGTTTTCAGTTATAAGATGAATAAGTTCTGGAGCTCTAACATATAGCATGATGACTACAGTTAATCATACTGTGTTGTGCATTAGAAATTTGCTGAGAGTAGATCTGAAGCACTGTCTCACACACATACGCACACACACACAAAAGGATGTGAGGTGATGGACATGTTAACCTGAAATAATTATTGCATAATGTATACAAATATCAAATCACCACATAGTACACTTTAAATGTATACAGATTTGTCAGTCATGCATCTGTGAAGCTGGGTGAAGACAGAAAATGTGAGCTAACATTGTCTGCATTGAAACAGGACCTCATCACCTGCTTCAAGGTCAGCCGCACTGGGACAGACGCCACTGCATTTCTGTGGTACTCCTGCCAAAATGTACACCCTGGGTCTCATTATGGAGAGATAGTAGACAAGCCAAATTGAAGAACATTGTATAAAATAACTGTCCAAAACTGGTCAAGGTCAAAAATACCAAAGATAATGTGAGGAATTTTTCCGGCTTAGAAAGGAAACAAAGAGACAGCCAGATATGGTGAATGATACTGGATTAGATCCTTGACTGGGGTGGAAAGGGACTGTAAATGATTTTGGCACAGTTAACAAATTTGAATGTGGACTATGGAGTAGATGCTAATATCAATCAATATTAGTTTCCTAATTTTGATAAATGTATTGGTAAAGAGGATCAGGATATTTCCCCCATCCCCTCCAAATATGTCACTTTGGAATAATTATTTTGTGCTGAAGGCATTTGAGTTCCTGAAATTCCTTGTCGGCCTAAAAACAGAACTTCCCTAAAGAACTTAATTGTCATAAATTCCCTCCCCTGCAGCAGCTCTCATCCCTTCTGAGGGGAGGAGAGACTGGTACCACAGCAGGCTACAAGACAAACACGGTCACAAACTATCTTATCTGCCATCTACTTCCCCCGGGGCCTCTTAAGTTCCCCAAAAGTCATTTGCTTTCCCACAAGTGCTCTTTCTCCCCCTCCTGTTTCCCTTCCAAGTCAGGTATATAGAACCCCCAAATCTAATCATCCTTTTGAGGTACTCATCTCTGAATGCTCCCATATGTATGCGTGATCCCCGTGCTAATAACCTCTGCTTGTTTTTCTCTTATTAATCTGTCTTTTGTTACAGGTCCCCAGCTGGAGAACCTAAAATGAGTAGGAAAGGAAATGATTTTTTCCTTCCAAAAATTAACAAATATTTAGGGGTTAAAGGGCACGATGTCTAAAACTTCATGCTAAAGATATTTGAAAAAATAATGAGAAAGGAAGTAAATGGGAACAAAAGGTAACTCACAATGGGTAAATAGGAGTAAAGAGCATGTGGTAGTTTCTTGAACAATTCTTGGGAACTTTCTGTAAATTTGAAATTATATTAAAATAGAATTTATAAAAATATCAGCAGAGGATAAAGAAGGATTAAGGGCATTAGAAATTCGAACATGTTAGATAAATACGATAAACATTATTTTTGACATTAGCAAGTAATACCAAAAGATTAGTAAAATGTTGCGTCTTTGAAAGGGAAAAGCATCATGCCCTTGATAGAACTTATAGGAATTAGGTCAGATCATAAATGTAATGTCCTCACAGTAGTACTTGGTTTAGAGAAAAACTGTAGTAAAGAAAAGCTTCATTGCTGCTGTTATTAGTGCTATAATTGTCAATGGCAGTTATCCTGTGAGCTTCAGTATACTGATTAACAAAACAATGATACGTCTGCCTACCTCACAGGGTTTTGAGGGTACTGTGCATTCAGGATTTAAATGCCTGACCCCTTACAAGATGGCAGACCCTGCTGTTGTGAGTGGAAATTCAGCTTCACTGGCTAAGGCCACGTGGCTATGGAGAGAGGACATGAGAGTGCAAGGGGTGGATGTGGGTCACAAGCAAGAGAGGGAACTTCGTTGTTCCCCTGGGATTATATTAGCTTGGGTTTGTGATGGATGAGGTGCTTCCTCAAAACAACCAATGACTTCCTAAGCTTTCCTGGGCTTTTGAGAGGGTCCACCCCCTGGATAGACTGACTGGCTTCTGGGATCAAGCACCTCCCCTCCCCCCCATCTCCCAGTGACTCAGTACTGGAGGCGGGAAGAGATGGTTGTTAATCCCCTTGTCACAGCAATTCTGTAATCCCCTGAGAGGTGAGGTTGTAGCTCCCTGGTGAAGCAAACAGGCTCATGCTCCCCAGTTGATTAAACTCAATGTCTAATTCCCTTTGCCCCCCTTTTCTTATTAATAATTAGTTAGCTGCCTATGATAACACTATTATCATTGAACTGATTCCATTTGCAATCTCTTGATAGAGAGAGGCCTTTTTACAACAAACTCATCCAGTATCTGGGAGATCTTTATGAATTTCACTTGCCTAATTTTTTCCCCCTGGAAAAAGGACATGAAGGCTGCTAGTGCAGGACCAGGAGAATGAGACTGAGTTATTTTAGGTTTTTCTTTATTTCTGGTCACTGAGTTCATCCTCTTAGCCCTCAAGGAGGTAACCTCAGTATGTTGTGATCGAACCAAGCTGGATCAATACCCTCCTTTGGAATTCTTGGTACATTTCCCATGGCTGGGGAACGCTTGTCCCTATCTGGCAGTAGTCTGTGCTTGTGGGTTCCCTAGAGCTGTGGAATTTCATTTAAGTTATAGCCAACAGGTGAATGTGTAAGAGCTACTCTTTAAAAAGCTGTCAGTTTCGAGGATGGCTCAGACTATTTTCTCTTGATATAAATTTTTGAAGCAAACAGTGATTATCTGACAAAGAAAGATTTTTAGAAATCTTCTGTCACAAGGTTATAGACAGCTTTCAGTTGTTTTCACTCTGAGTTTTATTTGCCTTCTCTTTGAAAAGATGTTGAGAAATCTTGCTTTCCTTTAGTGCTGGAAGATTTCCTCTTTGAAGAGACCAATGTAAACTGCAGTAAAAACTTCAACCACTGGAGGGCAGTATTCTGCACTGAGTGGACCAAAAAAGCTGACAACTTGAACACCAAGGTATTCCTTTGGCAATGAGTGTACAAAGTAAATAAACAATAGGTGAGAAAACAAATTCCCATGAACAGAAGCTGCAATGCATCTCCCCTGAGCTTAGGAACTGCAACAGTTACTTGATTGCTTGGCACAGCCATGCCCTGCTTACCCTCAGGGACTGGTGGGGCTACTGAAAACTTACCTGTGTCTCCAAAATTAATTTATTTCTATAAAATTAGCTTATTCATTGCACATATACTTATTGGCACTACAACGTGTTTAACATTCTTTTAGGCACAGGTGACAGCCTTGAACAAGATAAATAAAATCCCTATTCTCAATGAGTTTGTATTCTGGTTAGGAGGAGACAGGTAAACCAACAAGCAAATGTCTACATATCAGGTGGTGTTAAGTGTCACAAGACCAATTAAGCAGGATAACGTGCTAGCCCTCAGTAGGTGGCAAGGGGTTGCTGTACTGAACAGTGTGGTCAGGGAAAGATAGAGAGGTATAAAAGAAGGGCCAGTACAAACTGGAGATATATGATAAAATAGTTGCCCAAAGGAGAACTGTAAATTCCAAGGCACTGGGGTGGGAACATGATGAACATACATAAGGTACAGCTATGCAGCTGGTAATTTTTAAAAAGCTGGTTTGCAAAAAGCTGCATAAGTGTAAATCAGAATAAAAGAGAACCCTGAAGCTTCTTTACACTGAAGGCCAGTAGCATTTGCCCAGCATTTCCTGGTCTTAGTTAAGAACACAGGCTGTGTTTCTGTTCTTAGTTAAGAACGTAGGCTACGGTCAGACAGATCTTGATTTGAGTGCAGGTTTTGCAACATACTAGCAAGTACTGATACTTGCATAGACTTTCTGGGCAAGTTACTTAACCTCTCTGTGAGTGGCAGTTTCTTAGAATTATTGTGAAAGTTACATGAGATCAATGCAAATAAAGTGCTTAGCATTTTACCTGGCATATAAGAACATTATAAGAAACTATGTCATCTGGACTCATGACAGATAATGTGGTTGTTACTGTAAACACAGAGCTACAGTATTAAAGAGAATAGAGACAAATAGAGATGAAGGATGGGCACAATTTAATGAGTAACGAAGGTGAATAAAAGCCAGCATTGCTAAAAATCCCACATGCAAAAATGGGGAGATTATATAAACTATGGAAACATGCACCAAAAATTTAAAATGTACATACAGTGCCTGATTCTTAAAAGAGCTCAGTGAGAATCTGGGCAACATCTTAGATATTTAAAATGCTATTTAGCTGGGGAATATAGAGTCTGCTGGGGATGGTCTGTTAAGAGAACATTAATGGGTGTTCTAGAATATCTCTATGAGGGTTTTGATTAGGTGCTGGCAGAAGTCAAGATATAGGCTTTTTTGAAGGTCTTTTTTTGAAAAGTGAACACTGTGTTTATTTGAGATAATTGGAGATGGGGATGGTGGTGATGGAGAACATGAGGGAAACCAAAGGCATTTTTTGGCCTGAATGATGGGCCCCAGTCAATACCAGTGACCCCAGCTCCCCTTCACACACTCAAGTCACAAGAAAGCCATGACTGTGGGGAGGAATGCCACACCAGGATGACACGGGGCGCACCATACCTGTCTTGTTAAGTCCCATGGGGCCTTGAGGAATTCTGTTAACGGAGAGGATATACCCATCTTCTGTTGCGACTTCGTACTCCTCACAGGGGTAGCCTTGATGTCGGATGATTTCACTCTACAGAGAAGGCACAATTTCTTTGAGTTCAGTTCTGTAAGGCTATATTTTCAATTATCCCAAAGTAAAAAGTAGATTACTTGATGCTGGAAGACATAAACATAAAACTACTTTCTTTACCTTAGCTAATCATGTTATCTCAGAAACATTAGCCAACCCTCTGGAGTTCTCATTTTCTCTATCTTTAGTGTAGAGACAGGATTAGAACAGTAGTTTTCCAAGTATCCACCTTGGACCAAAAACATCAGCCATCACTTGGGCGCTTGTTAGAGATACAAATTGTCGGTTCCCCCCAAACCTATTGAATCAGTAATTCTGAGAATGAGGCCCAGAATTGTGTTTAACAAGCTCATTAGGAAATTCTGATGCACTCTACTATTTGAGAAACCCCGGACAAGAGCACTGACTCCAAACCTGGGTGTGCATCAGAATTGTCCAGGGCACTGAACTTCCTGGGCCTGCCCAGGACTAGGGGCCACATGACTCCAATGCAGCCAATGGGACACTGGCCTTATGGGAACACCTGGACTGTGCCTTTCCTCAATTCCTTTTCAGCTCTAAAACCAAAGACTCAAGAGCAGTATAGTTCTTAACATTTTTAGGTCGAAAATCCCTGGTATTAGGTATAATCCCTGGTTAAGGACCCCTATTCTATGCAGTTCTTATATGTACAAACTGCAAAATAAGAAGCCGCAGAGATCTCCAAAGTATTCTCACCGTTCTTGCACATTGTGATCATCTAAAGAAGGGGGAGTTATTTCTATCAGCTGCCGCTCTAAAAGGAAGAAAAGAGGAAAAAGCCAGGTGCCAAATGTCCACTGTAGTGCAATGTACACGGTCAAAGGGCATAGTAGTTGAGAGAAAGTCCCTAGGGTCCCATTGCATGAGTTTTCTTCCTGGCTCTAACACTAAACAGAAGCCAGCTACATGATCTTGGGAAATTTACTTAACCTATCTCTACTTTTCAGTGTATTCATTTGTGCATTAGGTATACCAGGGATTTATACTCCATGCAATTTCTTACAAAAAGATAATGGACATAACTGAGCTCCCTGGCATTTAGTTGGTGCTAAATGGCCATTGGCTATTACAACAAACATCATCCCCATGTATTCAAGTAACTCCTTGTATCTTTCCGACTTTAGGTAAGAAAGCTTTTTCTCAGAAAAGCTTTCCTAAACTGCCAGGGTTAGGTGCCCCCTACTTGGTTTTCGTCTTTGATTTCTCTGTTCTTATAATTAGTAAAGGAGCATCCCTCGTCCTTGCTGGATTCTCATCTCCACACACAAAGGCCTGTGATATTCTTAGATCTTTCTGTAACTCAGTGCATAGCACAGTAGCAAGGGCCTAATAGGTGTTCAGTTAAACACTTACTAGGAAAATACACAAATGAAGTCAATTTTATACCAACATACAGGATAAATTTTTTCCATATAAATCAGCATACAGAATCAAGCCCATTCAGACTCTGAACTACATTATTCTAGTTTGTTTAATTTATACTGGCAGCCATACAAATCTCCTATTTCACTTTGCCTGCCCATGCTTAACTGCTCAATGCCAGAATCCAGTTCAATGAATGACAGTTTGGGGGCTCCCGGTGCTCCAACAGGGTGTGAGTGCTGTGCACACACAGTGGGTGAGGTGCAGGGAGATTGGTTCTGCCTGCAGCTGAAGAGATTCCCGTCACCCAGAAACCCAGAAGAGTCCGTAGAGGACCTTCTCAGGGCCAGAGGGTGGCTCCTAAGGAGCTACAACCACTTGCTAACTATTGGACAAATCACCGAAAGGCAGTCAGTCTTTGAAATGATAGAAAGAAACCTGATATTTGACATCAAATAGATGCAAAATATTTCTGTGATCTGTCAGAGTTTTAGAATCCACTCAGAAAAGGCTTTTGTAAAAAGTATCTTAAGTCTGTGTTAAGGCAAGTTAGCTTACGACAAATCTATGGATCACGAACACTGCAGGCGATCATCTCCCTCCTCCGGAGGAAGCCTCTGCTTCTTGCCAGGGAGGGTTTATTGCACACTGGTTATAATTATGTGTTTGGGCAGGTCTGCTTATAAATTTGTGGCTCTACCACCTACCAGTGGCGTGGCCTAATTTAAGTTGCTTAATCACTTTAATTTCGGTTTCTTGATTTGAAAAATGGGATTGATCATATTTACTGAATAGGGCTGTGAGGATTAAGTGAAATGAGTATTTATGAAGCTTTCATCACAATACCTGCTATGGGGTAGTGTTACCATATGTCGGATATTATTAAAACACAACCAAGATTTGAAAGTACGCCAAAAAAATTATCTGGGATACACAGACAGATGTCACATCATTCATTAATTTTACTCACAGGAGGCCCTCTCTAGCAATCATTAGGGTTCATTTATTTATTTCTGTCAACAGAGTTACCAGTTCAAAGTAAGATAATAAGAATACATGGTGCAGGATGCTACTAGAAGTGGGTGCCTTCATGGTAAGGAGGGAGGGATAACAACTTCCTAATATGGGATAAAGTAGGAAAACAAATAAAAGCACAGACAAAAGGAATATAATTGTGGGTCTGGGCTTGGCCCAAGATACTGCAATGATTTCTCTGCTCATAGAATGAATCTATGAATGCAAGAAAAAGGTAAATTGTGTTTGAAGCCCAAAGGGAGTAAGTCATTGGATTAAGTCATTAGCCCAAGTATACTGAGTTTGAGGAGACCCCAGTCTATTCTCACCCATTTTAGCACTTTTCAGTGCAATATGCTAATTTATGACTGCTCTGCTAGCAAAAATTGCCACTGTATATAAATACAATACATAATGCAGGCAATACACAGTTGCAAACCTTAACACATAAGGCACTTCATTTCCCCCAAAACGTTGTGAAAAATCCCAACTTACAATATTCATGAACGCTTCTGGGTCCACATCTTTAGTCGGCATACGTACTGAATCCACATTCCTTTGTAACAAGTGCGCCACCAGAATCAGGAGCCACATCTCAGTTCTGTGCGAAACAATCCACTCTCTTGACAAGATTTTTGACATGGCCCAACATCTGCATTTATGTTTTCCTGGCAATAGAACAACCAATGCTAAAGTCAGAAGGATCTGTGGGTTTAAAAACATAAATTTTCCAGCTATAATTCCTTCCCCAAATTCTGGAGCATATTAAATAAGCTTGGTTGGTAGGAATGAAAGAACACAAAGTTAGAGTGGAAACATTGTCTGGGATGTCCCAATACCACCTGGCTCCTCCCACTCCCTCACACAACTTGCTGTCACCAACCCTTGAGCTTGAAGGTGTGTGAAACTTTCTTTGACGCAACCGCAACCTGAATTTATGTGCATGTGATACAACCCACAATACTCCTGTTCTTCATCATCAGGTAATGAGAACCTGATGAGCATCTTTTTCTTAGTTTTTATCTTTCTTTGACAGGTAGAAAGATATGGAGTCTAGAAAATATTACAAGTTTCTACAGTCACATTCTAAAGCTTCAATGACTGCTATCTTTTGATGAAAGATCAGTGTGGTATTAAGTATTTTCATTTAATATCTCAAAAATTTCAGAGCATTTTCTATTTTTAGTGATGGGTGAGAACACTTAGGAGAAGAAAATGAGTCTTCTATGTTTAGGGCATTTCTATCTGTTTCAACTGCATACACATGTATAAACATTTTTATTTTGCATTGTAGTTAACTGCTGTGAGATTAATCTGAAGGAGAGCTGATAATTAAACTCTCTTCAATAACTAAAATGAGTTGCAGCCTAGTTGTTTTCACTGCGTGGCAATGACAGCCATTCCTCAGCCTACTAATATGAAAGCAGGCCAGGAGAATGGAATCTGTGTCATTTTAAGTAAAGAATGTGTTAACATTTAAGAAAAATATTATTTAAAGTAAATTTTTCTTTTACTTTTACATCAACTCTTCCAAACTGAGCTAGCAGCAGCAACACTGGTTTGCAGACTTTCGGAATGTGGTTGGTGAAGGAGCCGAAGCTGGAACAGGAATGGTGAGTCTGTGAGAGAGGATCTGCCCAAAGTCTCAGCCTCACCCACTCTGGGCTGGCTGCGCCTAGGGTGAGGCAAGCCTGCACCTCCTACCTGGAACGATCTCAACATTCCCACCATTGTTGGTCTGATGCATGCTAAGGAGGAGTGACCTACTTTAGGGGAACAGAGGGAGCACTTGTCTAACTCCGCAGAGTCCCATGTCCTGGTACCCACTGAGCACACTCTGGAGTAGAGTATGCAACGTGGAACTGCAGAAGGTAACTTTGGTGCCTACTGTTGACATTTTAGGACCTTTAAATGTTATATAGCCAGGTGGAAAGAAAATCTCATTCAGTTCTTTCATTTTTAGAAATGTGAAGACACGTTAAATGACTTGCCCAACATTGCCTAGTTAGGTAGTGGCAAGGCCAGAACAAAAATTTAGGTATTTTAATTAATTGTTTAGGATCATTACCACAAAGGAAAGAATGTAATGTTTCCAGAGCTTCTTCCCCATTCAAGGGCAAAGGCCCACATACAATGAAAAGCAATTACGTCAATCTTGGTGAATTGTCTCTTTAAAAGTTCTCTCCTGGGTTTAAAATTTTAAATAATTCTTAATAATTTTATTATAATTTTGAGAGATATAATCTACTCACATTTGCTTCAATATAGTCAGATAAGATCAACTCCCAAACTGGATTAATATACTTGTCAGTATTGTACAGACATTACGAAATGAATCGATACCAATAAACTCATTAATTCAGAAAAAATCCTGTGTTTGTGGTAGCAGGACAACTTCTCACCCCACCTTTATCTTTCATCCTTTGGAAACTGACCTCCCTGAGTACAAGATAATGCTGAGGAAATAGAATTCAATTTGTCTCTCAAATTCTTGGGTAACTTTGTGAGCTCACAGCTGTCATTTTGGAAGCAGGAAAGTGACGTCCAACTCAAAGAGCTACATTTTGAACAAATATTAAATAAGTACAGTTCTTCCCCACTGCAGAATTTTAACAATGACGTTATCAGTTTAGAAACCCACAGCCCATGAAGTATTTTAAACATTACTGCAAAACAAGATAACAATGTATTTATGTTTATGCTTAGGCAAGATTTTTAAAATAACAATTGGACAATATCACTGTTGCTTGGATTACAGAAGGCTTAAAATTTTTGAGATGTTAATTTCTGAAAACATCAATATTTATATCCTAAACTTACCACGGAAATTCTAGAAAATTCAAAAATATACAGTACAATTCCATTTACTTATGGTGTTTCTAAAAATTTATCCATCCTAGTGTAAAAACTATAGAAATTGATACAGTAAAAACAAACAAACATTTAAAAAGTAGTAACAAGAGTTCTAAAAATAGTAAAACAAAAACTCTTGAAACTGGGAGATAATTCAATTTTATTATCCAATTTGTTGAAATGTAATTATCCATAGTAGTTTCTTATGATCTTTTGCATTTCTGTAGTATCAGTTGTAATGTCTCCTCTTTCATTTCTGATTTTATTTGACCTATCTCTTTTTTTGTTAGTCTAGCTAAAGTTTCATCAATTTTCTTCTCTTTTTTAAAAAATGAATTCTTAGTTTCATTGATTTTTTCTGTTGAATTCATAAAGATGTGATTATATGGAACCATAAAAGACCCCCCAAAACCTCAGCAATCTTGAGAAAAAAGGACAAAGTAGGAGGAATCACATTATCTGATATCAAACTACATTACAAGGCCACTGTAATTAAAACAGTCTGGTACTAGTATAAGAACAGACGCATAAATTGATGGAGCAGAATAGAGAGCCCAGAAATAAACCCATGTCTTTATGATCAATTAATATTCAACAAAGGGGTTAGAAGCATAAAATGGAGTAAACATAGCCTCTTCAACAAATGGTGCTTGGGAGATCTGGACAGCTATATGCAAAAAAATGAAACTCGAGCACCAACTTACACCATCCACAAAAATAAACTCAGGATGGATAAAAGACCTAAATATAAGTCATGACACCATTAAAGTCCTAGAGGAGAACATAGGCAGGAAAATTTCAGATATCCCATGCAGCAATATCTTCACCAATATGTCCCCTAGAGCAAGGGACATAAAGGAAAGAATAAACAAATGGGATCTCATCAAATTAAAAAGCCTCTGCATGGCTAACGGAAACATCAACAAAATGAAAAGGGAACCAACCATGTTGGAAAATATATTTGCCAATGATTCTTCAATCAAGGGTTGATCTCCAAAATATATAAAGAACTCACACAACTCCACTCCAGAAAGACAAACAATCCAATTAAAAAAATGGGCAAAGGACCTGAACAGACACTTCTCCAAGGAGGACATACAGAGGGCCCAGAGACATATGAAAGGATGCTCAGCATCACTAGCCATCAGAGAGATGCAAATTAAAACCACAATGAGATACCACTTCACACCTGTCAGAATGGCCATGATAACCAAATCAAGAAACAACAAGTGGTGGCGAGGTTGTGGAGAAAAGAGAACCCTAATACACTGTTGATGGGAATGCAGACTGGTGTAGCCACTGTGGAAAACTGTATGGGATTTCCTCAGAAAATTAAAAATGGAACTGCCTTTTGACCTGGTGATTCCACTGTTGGGATTATACTCTAAGAACCCTGAAACACCAATACAAAAGAACCTATGCACCCCAATGTTCATAGTAGCACAGTTTACAATAGCCAAGTGCTAGAAACAGCCTAAGTGTTCACCAATAGAGGAGTGGATCAAAAACTGTAGTACATTCATGCAATGGAATACTACACAGCAGAAAGGAAGAAGGAACTCCTACCCTTCCTGACAGCATGGATGGAACTGGAGAGCATTATGCTAAGTGAAATAAGCCCGGCAGTGAAAGACAAATACCATATGATCTCACCTATAAAGTCGAACCTAATCAACAAAACAAACAAGCAACCAAAATAGAGCCAGAGACACAGAAATAAAGAACAAACTGACAGTAACCAGAAGGGAATGGGGAGAGGGTTATCCAGGGAAAGAAGGGGAAGGGTCAAGTCAAGGAACATGTGTAAAGGACCCAGGGACAAAGAACAGGAGGGAAGGATTGAACATGGGAGGTGGCGGTGGGTAGGGCAGGTGAGAGTAATGGGGGAGAAATGGGGACAACTGTAATTGAACAACAATAAAAAATGGAAAAAAAGAAGTATTAAGACCGTATGGAGTTCAGTCTTGAAATTTTCATATTTCACATTTCATAATTTCTGATTTTTTGGATAGATTTTCTTTACACACAGGTTATAAAAATATGTTCTATTTTTCTTAATTTTTTTAAATTTAGAATTCCAGAACATTTAAAATTTATTTTTCAGTATGAGTAGGTACTGAATCTGGATTATTTTTTTCTAAACAGTTGCTTAGTTTTGCCATCGTCACTCACTGGATAGTCTTTTCTGGTTCCACTGCTGTGACTGCTGCCTTTCCTCTTTCACCTTGTGTCACTAAATCCTGAGTCCCCCAGTGCTTACAGGATTCTTCTCAAGCATGCTTCTCAACTGGGAGTGAGTTCACCTCCAGGAACCTTTTGGCAATGTCCGGAGGCATTTTTGGTTGTCATCATGAAGGAGTGCTATTGGAATCCAGTGGTAGAGGCCAGGGGTGCTGCTAACCATCCTACATACAATGCATAGGGCAGATTCCTCAAAACAGAATTTACACACCCAAAAGCTGAGGTTGAGAAATCTTGGCCTACATTCATCGCGGTATATGAATATATGCCTGAAAAACAAAGGCTACTTAGAAAAGGTATATGAGCATGTTGTTTAAATAACTATTTAAAATTATTGACTTTTTATTAACTGTTGATAACTCCTTCAGAAGTGGTTTTGCATATAAGCTCGTCATCATGATTCAGTAGCTGCCTGCTTTCTGGGTGAGACCTGTTCTCCATGTATGCAATATTTTATTCTCATCATCTGGAGGACACATTGATCTGCCACACAACAAATGCGTATACTAATTGTGTGTTGTTTTCAAAGCACTGACATTAATAAGACCAGGTAGTGATAAACTTTTCCACCTTTACTTTCTCTCTCGTATTCAAGCAAATCAGACTGAGAATCATCTGATTGATGATGCTGATTTCAGTTCCCACGCTAGACGAACTGTAGCCAAGTGTCC